AGGGCCCCGGCAGGGGACACGCGGTTGGCATCCCCCCAGCGCTGTGCAATCCCTGGAGGGTGTGAGGGCCGCGGTTCCAGCTGCCTGTGGCTTCCTGCCGGCAGGGGCGAAGGGTGAAGGGTCACTCGGGGCACCTGAGCTGCTGCTTATGCCCCTTCCAGCTGATTCCTGAAGCACCGGCCCAGCCCCCTTTCCCGGAGCTTTTTGGGGGTTTGTTTTGGCTTGGGGGCCACACCTGGCGGGGTTCCTCCTGGCCGGGCAGGGACGCGACTCTGGTCTGCAGCGTGCCCAGCGAGCTCGGCCCTTGAATTCTGTCTCTTGCCCTGTTTTTCCCCCGACGTCCCCATGGTACGGACACGGCTGGTGTTGAGGAGACATGGAACTTTTGTGAGTTGAGATGTGCTGTGTGTCGTGTTGTGTTCAGAGCCCTGGACTCCAGGAGAGACTCCGCAGGGTCTCTGAAGGGGTCTAACCCCCCACGTGACTGTCAGTTTTCCCCAACTGGAGGCTGTTCGCTGAGCATGGTTTTATCCTTTTGGGTTTTTTTTTTTCCTTTTTACGCCACACCTGGGGCGATGCTCTGGGTTTTTAGTCCTGTCTCTGTGCTCGAGGTCACTCCCGACAGGGCTCAGGACACCCCAGGGTGCTGGGGCTCCAACCTGGATCGGCCGTGTGCAAACGGGAGGCATCCTGCCCTGCCGAATGGCATTTCCGGTTCTGCGTGTTTTTAAGGACTCTGCGTAGCGGCTGCCCCCACCCGCACCCCACTTACTTACCCTGGCACCTCCAAACGTGCACCACCCCTTCTCGTCCCGGGGCCTGGCCCGCTGCCTTGGAGGGGAGCCCATCCCGCCCCTTGCCTGGAGCACCCCGCCCTGGGAATTGTCGCCGAGGGCCCACAGGGGAAGGAAGGAGAAGGGACTGGGGTGGGGGGCCGCATAGAACACGCCAGCGGGCTCTGAGCCTCCTCCCTTTCGTCCGGGTAGAACTTGCCCCCCCCCACCCCACAGTGTGTGTCCCCCAAGGTCACCCCAAGGCCTCAGCCGCTTTCCCCTGCTCCTGGGGGGGTGGGAGGCAGTCTGAATTCCTTGCCCTGGTTCCCGGCGAAGGCGGCAGAAACAGCCCCGTTCCCAGGGCCGTGGGCGTAGGACCTGCTCAATGGACGCATTGTCCACGCAGCCCGGGGCTCTGGGCTCTGCCTACAGGCTGGGCAGCCCACACCTTTGAGCCCTTTCTTGTGGGTTTTCTTTCTTTGTGGCTGAGGCCATGTATCTGTTACTCCGTGTGAAGGAGGATGGGGCCCCCCAACACCCAGGGCCGCGGCTTCTCTCTGCACCCCCACCCTGAGTCTGGGCTCTCAACTCAGGCTGGTTCCGAGGAGACTGGCTCTGGGCAAGCCCTGGCCCCGCCGAGGCTCAGTTTCCCCGTGTCTGAAGCAGGAGCAGCTGCCCACGGGATGCACTTGAGCAGTGTTGGGCTGGGTGAGGTCTCGGGGGTCAGGGGTGCAGGTCATGTATGTGTGAGGCCCCGAGCACTGCTGGCCCCAGGAGGCCCCACGTCCTTGGCCGGACCTTGAGCCGTTCGGCACATTTGGTTTTGGTTTGGTGTTGGGACCCCGCTGGCTGTGCCCAGGGCTTCCTCCTGGCTGTGCGCTCAGGGGTCACCCCTGCTGGGCTTGGGGGCCCGGATACGGGGTTGGGGGTTGAGCCTGGGCCTTGGGCCCACAAAGGCTGTGTTCCAGCTGTTCTAAGCTCCTTCTCTTGGCCCCGTTGTCTTCTTTTCCCTGCAGTGCTCAGGGACAACTGGTGCTTGGGGTCACCTGGTGGTCATGCAGTACTGGGGCTGGAACCCGTACTCGACCCGCTGTGGCCCACCCGCTGTGTGGTCTCCCCATGCCCCAGGTTTGTCTGCGTCTCAGTGTTTCCTCACGGTTGCCGCGTGCCTTATTGCTGTGGTCAAGATGAAGGGTCAGGGGCTGGAGCGATAGCACAGTGGGTAGGGCGTTGACCTTGCACGCGGCCGACCCGGGTTCGATTCCCAGCATCCCATATGGTCCCCCAGGCACTGCCAGGAGGAATTCCTGAGTCCAGAGCCAGGAGTAACCCCTGAGCATTAACGGGTATGACCCAAAAACAGCAAAAAAAAAAAAAAAGATGAAGAGGACATCAGGTCATCAGAGATGAACCTGGTCAGTCTGCAGGAGAATGAATGGGTGAGTGAATGAATGAATGAGTGAATGAATGAGTGAGGGTTGTTGGGTGAGTCGGGATTGAGCATCTGGTCCATCTGTGAGTGGATGAATGAACGAATGAGCCACTGAATGAATGCGAGAGGGTCATTGGACGTGGGGTTGGAATCCTGGACCCGGTCAATCAGGGTGAAGGAATGAGCGAGTGAATGAATGAAGGGCCATCATTCATTCACTCCCGCCCTTTGCTGGCCGCAACTTCCTCACCTTAACCCAGGTCGGGGGTCTCCAGCTTCCAGTCCCCTCTGGCCTTTGGCCAGGCCCCACCTCCGGCTGTTCCCACCGGCCCCTCCCAGGGCTTCTGGGCCAAGTTTCCAGGGAAACCCGGGGGTCTGGGGGCCCCAGACAGTCCTGGGAGGTTGTGAGCACAAGGTGCCTCCCCCACGACCTATGACCCGGCCCCCAGCTGTGGCCCAGGGTGGCACAGCGAGGCAGGGCTCTGGGTTCAGGAGCTGGCTCCTCCTGCAGAGGAGGGGGTCTTGGGAGGTGCCAGGACCCCTCTGGGCCACACTCCCGGGCTCGGCCCTGCCGTGGGGGTGCTGCCCGCGCCCACCTGCCTCACTCTGTCGGCACCCAGCTGTGGGTGGGCTCAGGCCCGTCTTGGCCCTGCAAGCGTTTGTTCTCTGGCTGCTTTTGTTCCAAAGTTCCCAGTGGCTCAGCGGCCACCCCCAGCTCTGTGCCCGGGGGCGGCCCTCAGGGGCGCAATGTGGGGTAGAGCCCAGCCCCTGGGTGCAGACCCCCGAGGATACTGGAGACAGAAGCCGGAGGGGCAGTTTCCAGACCGTTCCAAGGGATGTGTGCGGGTTCCAGGAAACCAGGCAGGCCTTGGCGTTCGATCTCAAGAGCTGGGGTCTTGGTCTCAGAGCTGCCGTGTGGTCAGCTGCCCTTGGGGTCCCCCCGAGAGCGCTTGTTATGGGAACCACTGTTCTCTGTTTCTCCAGATCTGCCTCTTCCGGGCAGTTTACACTCGGAGCACGGAAGGTGTGACCCTCTCTTCTCTGTGTTGGGGGCTCCCCGCCCTTCCCACTGAGGGTCCGAGGATGTGATGCCGCTCAGGGCCAGCAGTGCTGGGGGTCCCCGGCCCACCCTGGTGCTGCTGGCAGTCTCCAGGGCCATGCCAGGCAGTGTTCAGGGGTCTGGAGGGGTGCCAGAAATTAAGCCCACCCCGGCTGCCCCCTTAGCACCCTCCTGCTTCCTTCATCGCTGTCCCTCTCCATGGTGTGGGGGGCTCGCTGCTGTGGCCATTGTGCTGGTGGCCCCCAGGCAGAACTTTGGTTTGGTTGCTCTGGCTCTCCGCCAGCGATGCTTGGGGTCTTCCCGGCAGTGCTCGGGGAACCCCGTGGCTCGGAACCCAGTCCAGGCCCCCTGTGAACCACGGTGAGACGTCTGCCTTGCTTGTGGCTGACCGGGTCCCCTCCCTGACACCCCCTGGGGTCCCTCCGTCCCTCTCACAGAGCCAGGAATGTGCATCCCTGAGCTAGGTGTGGCCCCAGAACAGAACAAACCCCCCAACCCCCTGCCCCGCCAGCCTCCTATATGCCCAGGGTCAGCCAGCCTCTCAACGGGCACATGTCTGGGAAGCCTCCGGGTGCGTGGGCGGTGCCAGGGGTCATGGGCGTGCCTCGCTCGTGCCGTGTGTCCAGCGGCCCTGCCGTGTAACCCTACCCACGCTCACCGCCCACAGCAGCTGTCAGGCCTCCATCCCTGTCCCCGGGGAACCCGGCCAGCCGGGCCCGGCCACCTGTGCGGGGCGCTCCGGGTATTTGCAAGCGTCTGCCCGCTGCTGGAGCTCTCTGGGGCAAGCTGGGGGGCGGCCTGGGGGGGTTACTGTGTCTTTATGGACAGCCGGGAAGGCACTGGCCTTGTGTACAGCCCACCCAGGCTCCAGACCCAGCACCATGTGGGGGTGCCCCCCTGGAGTGACCCCTGAGCACAGAGCTAGGAGTAAGACCTGAGCACTGCTGGGTGTGGCCCCGGAACCCAACCCACAAACAAGATGCACAGCAAGAAATTGACTGTTTTAGGGGGGCTGGGGCGATAGCACAGCGGGGAGGGTGTTTGCCTTGCACGCGGCCGACCCGGGTTCGATTCCCAGCATGCTAGAGGGTCCCCCGAGCACCGCCAGGAGGAATTCCTGAGTGCAGAGCCAGGAGTAACCCTGAGCATTGCTGGAAATAATAAAAAAAAAAAAAAAAAAAGCAAAAAATTAAAAAAAAAAAGAGATAAAGTGTTTCAACAGTTCTTTTGGGGGGAGGAAGGAGAGGGAGTGAGAAGAGTTTGGGCCATCCCTGGCTCTGTGCTCAGGGAACAGGGGATGTTGGGGGTGGAATAAGAGGCTCAGGGATTCCTCCTGACTCTGTGCTCAGGAATTACTCCCGACAGTGCTCAGGGAACCCTGTAGGATTTTGGGGATCGAACCCGGGTCAGCCACGTGCGAAGCAAGCACCTTACCAGCTGTGCTCAGGCTCCCACACTGTTTTCACTGCTTTGTTTTGGGGGGGCCACATCCAGCAGTGCTCAGGAGGGCTCTCCCTGGCATGGGGCCCTCGTGCCCTCCGCTGGGCTGTGGGCATGGGCGGGAGTGTCCGCCCCTGAGGGAGAGGGACAGCAGGCTGGCCGAGGACTCTGGAGTCCACTGAGCTGCCCAGCAAAGCAAGCCTGAGGCTGAGGACCCTGCTGGGGTGGGGGTGGTGTAGGGGGCCCCCCGTCCCCCCGTGGGCACCTGCTCATGGCCTCTGCCTTGTCTCTGCAGATCATGATCGAGTTCTGCGCCGGGGGAGCCGTGGACGCCATCATGCTGGGTGAGTCCCCTTGGCCACCAGCTGCTGCTGAGGGCACCCGGAAGTTTCCGGGCCTCCTGCTCTGGGCCCCTCTGGGAGAGGCCAGGCACCACGACTGGGCCCCTCCCACTGTTTCCAGAAGAGCCCCGTGTCCCCCAGCTGCGTCCTGCTCCCGGGGTCCTCCCAGCCCTCAGGGGTCTCCTTTGCTGACCCCAGGAGTAGGGGGTCCCCACTCCGAGGGGGAGCTCAGTGGCCCTGAGTAACCGTGGTGGCCCCTCTCCCCTGCGACCTCCTGATGAGGGGGTGGGCAAGGAGGCCAGAGGAGCCGCAGGCACTGCCCCTGGGGAGGGGGGGTGCTGTGGGAAACAGGATGGACCGGCCTTGAAAACTGAGAAGCAGATTCGCGGGACGAGCCAGAAACCCACTCCTGGCGGCTCTCGGGAGGAAACAGAACGTTGGTTTTTCCCACGGAGAGTTTCTGCACTCGTGGGAAAGAGGCTCGGCCGCAGGGGCCCACAGCACGTGGGGGCAGAGGCAGAGCTGGTGGGGAGGGGATGGAGTCACCGTGGGAGGGACGGGAGCGGCAGACAGGCACCAGAGTGACCCCAGCACTGACCCCCCCAGCACTGACCCCCGGCAGTGACCCCCCCAGCCCTTGGCCCCCAACACTGACCCCCCCAGCACTGACCCCCCTAGCACAGACCCCCAGCACTGAACCCCCAGAAGGCCCCCCCAGCACTGACCCCCCAAAACTGACCTCCCAGCACTGACCCCCCAATACTGACCCCCCAAGCACTGACCCCAGCACTGACCCCAGCACTGACCCCCCCAGCACTGACCCCAGCACTGATTCCCCGGCCCTGCCTTCTCCCTCTCCCACTGGGGATCCTGAGCACTGTGGCCCTCGGGGGCCCTGGGCCTCCTCCTGGTTCCTCCCCCCGCCCGCGTGGACGGTGCTCCCTGAGGTTGAGGCCTTGAGCCAGAGTGTCCGGAAGCACAGGCACTGGGCAGGGCGTGGCAGACTGAACTGGGGTGGGCATGGAGGGTGTGTCTGAGGAAGGGGGGCATCCCGGGCGGCAGGTTTGGAGGTGGCCAGGAGAGCTGGGCCCCAAGTTCTCCCCCAGGAGAGAGCACTGTGTGCGTGGGCACTCGGGATGTCCCCGGAGCCATGGGGCCGTGTGAGGGCGCAGACCCAACTCGCTCACTGCCCGCTGTCCACGTCACCCCAGTGGCCCAGCTCCGTGCAGGGACCCGTATCTGTGCCCCCAGCAGCCCCCAGCACCCGGACACCTGGCGGGCACCGGAGTCCCCAGCGCTGGGCTCTGAGCATCAGAGCTGCGGGCTGACCATCGCCCCTCCAACCCACAGAGCTGGACCGCGGCCTGACGGAGCCCCAGATCCAGGTGGTGTGCCGGCAGATGCTGGAGGCCCTGGCCTTCCTGCACAGCAAGAGGGTCATCCACCGCGACCTCAAGGCCGGCAACGTGCTCATGACGCTGGAGGGGGACATCAGGCTGGGTAAGGGCCGGGGACGGGCTGTGCGGCCCAGTGGGTATCGTTCTGGTCGTCGTGACTCTTGTTTCCTGGTTTGGGGGCCACCCCGGCGGGGCTCAGGGGACCCTAGGGGGTGCCGGCGGAGCAGAGTGGCCCCTGGGTGGTCTCTCTGGCCCCGATCCTATGTGATTTTTAAGGGAAACTGGCATGATTTATTTCCCCCCAAAATGCTTCACAGAATGACTGGAGGGATAGCACAGCAGGTAGGGTGGTTGCCTTGCATGTGGCCGACCCGGGTTCAAACCCCGGCATCCCATATGGTCCCCCGAGCACCGCCAGGAGGAATTCCTGAGTGCAGAGCCGGGAGGAACCCCTGTGCATCACTGGCTGTGACCCCAAAAGCAAAGAAAAAATAATGACTACACCCCAATATTTTTGAAAACATAACTGGGCCTAAACTCTGCCCAACAATTATGTGGTGACACACGGCATCTCCCCAGCTAGAAGGACGCTGCCGTATTATTTTCACGTGGTGCCAGGGGCTGACCCGAGCCCCTCGCACATCACATGTGTCCTCCTCTGCGCCACCTCTCCTGGGCTAACTCAGTGAGAGCCCAGCGGGAGAGGGACCCCCAGGAGGTCTGGGCATGCCCTGGGTCTTCCAAGCTGGGGGCTGCAAGCCCTTGATCCCCCTGGCCCCCATCTTAGCAGTCTCCAGACCTCGCTAAACCATCCCTGCCCGCCTGGCCCACAGGCTCACAGGCTCACTCCTGACACTCGGCACTTTTGTTTGTTTGGGGGGACCTCACCCAGCAGCGCTCAGGGCTCAGGGACCCCTCCTGGTGGAGCCTGGGGGATCCCAGGGGATTGAACCCAGGCTGGCCGCGTGTGAAGTACGCGTCTAATCCACTCCCCCGTTGCTCTGGCCCCGCTTGGCGGTAGTTTCCACGTATGATGGGATTTAGGAATATGGCAGAGGAAGGTCTGCATCCTGAGGCCTTCCAAGCTCACCACTCTGCATGCGTTTATAATGCCTTTTACACAAGTTTTCGTTTCTATTTTTTTTTAGTAATGTAGGAGTACTTACCTATATTCAGCCATTGATTAAGCTGATTGAATTGGGCATGAACTCCACATTACTTTTTTTTAAAATTTTTTTAATTAAAAATTTTTTTGTTATTGGGGGTTAGAGCAATAGCACAGCGGGTAGGGTGTTTGCCTTGCACGTGGCTGACCCGGGTTCGATTCCCAGCATCCCATATGGTCCCCCGAGCACCGCCAGGGGTAATTCCTGAGCGCAGAGTCATGAGTAACCCCGGTGCATGGCCGGGTGTGACCCAAAAAGCAAAAAAAAAAAATTTTTTTTGTTATTGAATCATCATGAGATACAGTTCAAAAGCTTTCACGTTCAAGAGTCAGCCATACAGTGATCGAATACCCGGCCCTCCACCAGTGCACACTCTCCACCGCCAGTGTTCCCAGTATTCCCCTCCCCCCCCCCACACACACATCCCAGCCCTCCCCCTGCCTCTGTGGCAGACAGTTTCCCCATATTCTGTCTCTCCTTTTGGGCATTGTGTTTGCTCGGATTTTCCCACCACCATTCAAGCCTGCCTGCCAGGGGCAGATGCTAGATCATTTATTGTCCCTGGCTCATCTTGAATATCATGGGCACCATCACACAATTATTTTCTGCTTCTAAGTTATTATTTGGTTCTGGGCCACGATAGCACAGCGGGTAGGGCAAACGTTTGCTTTCACGCAGCCAACATGGCCAACCGGAGTTCGATTCTTCCGCCCCTCTCGGAGAGCCCGGCAAGCTACCGAGAGTATCTCGCCCGCACGGCAGAGCCTGGCAAGCTCCCCGTGACGTATTCGAGATGCCAAACACAGTAACAACCAAGTCTCATAATGGAGACGTTACTGGGCCCGCTCGAGCAAATCAATGAACAACGGGAGGACAGTGACTCTGGGCCACAATGGTCAGTGCTCAGGGTTGATTCCTGGTTCTGTGCTCAGGGGTCCCTCCTGCTGGTGGTGCCTGGGGACCCTGCGGGCTGCCAGGGATGGAACCTGGGTTGGCCGTGTGCAAGGCCACTGCCCTCCCTAGTGCCCCCTCTCTGGCCCCTGGGCGACAGACAGTCCTTGTGGCCGTAGACGCAGCGGCAGCCAGGCGGGAGGGGAATGGCCGAGGTCCTGCTTTCCACAGTGCGGGGTCTTCCTCCACTGTCTGAGGGTCCGCGGTGCTGGGCTGGCCCCTGAGAGAACATCTGGTGCAGGCTGGAAGGGGTGGCACGGCGGCAAGACCGCGTGGGTGCTCCGTGCACCAGGGCTGGGCCATTTTAGTTTGCAGAGATGAGTTTTCTTCACTTAAGTAAATACATCTGGAGCTCTGCAGGGGACTTGTGGTACGCGTCTGTGCCAGCAAGTCTGGAGATGGAAATCTGTGAGTGTTGCCATTGACGGGAAGCCACCGTGCCGTGGCCGCCAGAACGAGAATCTGTCCACGGGGGCTTAGTTCCAGCCCTGCAGAGAGTGGGGTAAAACCCCCACGAGAGGACAGCGGGTCACTCCCGCGGGCTGGCCTGGAGGAGATGGATTCCGGCCGCGGAGGTGGGAGACGGGAGTGGACAGTGGGGTGGGGGTGAACTCAGGGCCAGGGAGGGAGACAGGAGTGGACGTTGTGAATGGGATGGACTCAGGGCCAGGGGCCAGGGAGGGGGACGATGGGAGGAGATAGACGGTGGGGAGGAGAAGCACTCAGTGGTCAAGCACAAACTTTGCCAGCGTGAGACCTGGGTTCAATCCCCAGCACAAAAAAAAAAAAAATCAAACAAAGACAAAAAAAAGCAAAACAAAACCAAAACCAAACCCAAGTCTAGCTCGTGTAGTGTTTGTTCCTCACATGGGTTCACAGTCAGTTTTTTTTTGGGTCATACCCGGCGATGCTCAGGGGTTACTCCTGGCTCTGCACTCAGGGGTTACTCCTGGCGGTGCTCAGGGGACCCTATGGGATGCTGGGAATCGAACCCGGGTTGGCCACGTGCAAGGCAAACACCCTCCCCGCTGTGCTATCGCTCCAGCCCTCACTGTCAGTGTCTGAGCCCCACTATCCTCATCTGTGGGTCTGGGCGGTGCCCTTCCCTGAGGAGTGGACGCGGTGGGCAGTGGGGATGAACGTGTGAGGCCGCACGCCTGGGCTCGCCTCAGCACACAGCTCCGGTAAATGCATGAAGTGAGCACCTTTGGAGGGATTTGTTTTGGGCCTCACCTTGCGGTGCTCGGGGCTGACTCCTGGCTCTGTGCTCGGGGCTGACTCCTGGCTCTGTGCTCGGGGCTGACTCCTGGCTCTGTGCTCGGGGCTGACTCCTGGCTCTGTGCTCAGAGCTGACTCATGGCTCTGTGCTCAGAGCTGACTCATGGCTCTGTGCTCATTGCTTGGGGAAGTCTACTGGATGCCACAAATGAGACAGGCACTGTCCCTGCTGTCCGAGGCCCTGGCCCTGAAGTGGGCACTCCCTGGGGGCCGAGTATAAGTGGTGATGCGGTACTCTGTCTTCTTTCCTTTTGTGTATGGGTGGAGGGTCACACTCGCTCCTCACAGTTTTCAGTCTGATCTTCTCCAAAAACCCCAAAGGAGGCGACCTCAGCGCCTCTCCCCATCCCTGAGCCCTCCGGCAACCCAGCCCCTCACGCCCCCGCCTCCATCCCTGAACCCCCAGAGCCAGGGTCGGGGCGGGGAGCCCAGCTCGGTCCCCATCTGGGGCCTGGCGGTGCTATGGTCCCGGGCCGGGCTGGGTCCCTACCCCCACCAGAACGGGAGGTGACGCTCTTTCGCCACATCCTGGTCGCTGCCCCCACACCCCCGGCTGTTACATAAACAGAAAAGCCACAAATGCAGAAAATTTGGCCTCGTGCATTTTGCTTTGTAAACCCGAAGAGCGGCAAGAGCGGAGGGTCCATCGTCTGGCAGCAACAGCGGTGGGGGCGCGAGGGGACAGCCTTGCAGGAGGCCAACAGGGTTGGGCCCAAAGCACCACAGGACCCCGTGAGCACAGAGCCCCGAGCACTGTGTCTCACTGAGTGGGGACAGGAAAAAAGGACCCAAAGCACCACAGGACTCCATGAGCACAGAGCCCTGAGCACTGTGTCCCACTGAGTGGGAGACAGGAAAAAAGGGTCCCTCAGTGCCCTGCACAGCCCATCCTGCAAGACCCCACAGACCCTCTCTCCCCCCACAGACCCTCACTCTCCCTCAGACCCTCACTCTCCCACAGAGCCTCACCCGGGTGGATGCTCTCTGCCCCACCCCCATCTCTCTGCTCCTACTCTGGGTGGAACGTTAACTGAGGGCAGTTGCTGTTTTCATCAGCAGACACCCCACGATGGGGACCCCCCAAAGAGAACCCATCCATGTGCAGAGAGGACCCCATGATCCTGCCCTGGTGTCTGGGCAGCGGGGAGGGGGGTGCCCAGCGGGAGGGAAGTGGTGGCTTCCCCCACCGGGGCTGGCAGAGGCTTCCTGGGCTGGGGCCATGGGCCCTCGCAGGGGTCACTGCCCTTGTGCAAGGCGGCAAGGCGGCGGTTTGGGCCTTCCTGTCCCTTCTGAGGGAAGGAGGGCAGGCAGCACTTCCCCCTTTTTCCTTTGTTTTTTTTTTTTTTTACTTTTTGGGTCACACCCGACGATGCACAGTGTGTCCTCCTGGCTCTGCACTCAGGAATCACTCCTGGCGGTGCTCAGGGGACCCCATAGGGTGCCGGGGATTGAACCCGGGTCGTCTATGTGCGAGGCAGGCAGACGCCCTCCCCGCTGTGCTGTGGCTCTGGCCTTGTCTGTGAGGATGCCAGGTCTGTCCTCTTGAGAGCTGAGTGGCCGCGTTGGAAGTTTGCTGTTTGTGGCATTGCTGCGTACCTCTGGTTACCGATGGCTGCCAGCCCCGTGGGTTTGCAATCGTTGCCTCAAAAGACTGGCCTGGCCGGAGTGACCGCTATGCGTGCAGGAGTCCCGGGGCTCAGCCTCACTGTCATCTGGGCCTTGAGCACACTTGGGGAGTGTCCCTCCCTTAGAAGATATGGAGAGAGAGAGAACAGAGAGAGACAGAGATGGAGACAGACACAGAGAGACAGAGAGAGAGACAGAGATAGAGACAGAGACACAGAGACACAGAGATAGGGACACAGAGAGACAGAGAGACAGAGATAGAGACGGAGACACAGTAATAGAGTTAGAGACAGACAGAGAGACACAGAGATAGAGTTACAGGGAGGCAGAGAGACAGAGATAGAGACAGAGACACAGAGAGACAGAGATAGAGACAGAGATACAGAGATAGAGACACAGGGAGGGAGAGACAGACACAGAGACAGAGATAGAGACAGAGAGACACACGGAGATACAGAGAGAGATGGGGACGGAGAGGTACAGGGAGCAAGACAGAGATAGACAGAGACACAGAGGGAGAGAGGCAGAGTCCCCGATAGTGCTCGTCCTGCCCTGGAAAGCCCTCAGGTCACCGTACCGTCCCTACACCCGCAAGCCAGCACCGCGTCCCCCACAGCCTGGCCCGCCCTTGGGCATTTGGGGCAGGAGCGGTGGCCTCACCCCTGCGAGCGTCCACCTGAGGTCTCTCTCTCTCTCTCTCTCTCTCTCTCTCTCTCTCTCTCTCTCTCTCTCTCTCGTAGCTGACTTCGGCGTATCTGCCAAGAATCTGAAAACGCTGCAGAAACGGGACTCCTTCATCGGGACGCCCTACTGGTGAGCAGCAGCGTCGTGCCTCGGCCCGTCCCGCCCCCCTGTGCCCTGACCGCGCCCAGCGCCTGGCCTGGCTGCCTTGGTTTCTGCACCTGTGAGCGCCTGAGGCGTCCTGGCAGCAGCTTCACAGGGTCGGGGAGAGGCTCCCCGCCAAGGAGACCCGCCCCCCCAAGGCACCGGAGAGTTTGGGGCTGCTCCCGGCAGTGCTCCGGGACCCCCCAGGCCTGAGCTCCAGCTCTCCAAGCCGCTTCCCCAGGCCAAAGGTTGCTATTTTATTCTTAAATGTTATTCTCAATTCTTGGATTGTTATTTTTTTCTTCCTCTTCAAATTTTCGGTTTGGGGGCCACACCCGCTAAGTGACCAGACCCTGGAGGGGGTGGCAGGGGCGGGACTGGGGGGACGGCTTAATCCCTGCTCTGCTGTGGAGTCCCCTGGACTTCTCTGCCCCGCTGCGTTTCCGCCTTTTTCTGTTGTATTTCTGTTCGAACTGTGCCTGGCCGCTTTCTCCCTGCCGGCTGCTTTCTGCCTTTGTACTCACACTCTCTCTCCGCACCCCTTTATTCCTCGCTCTCCTTTTCCGCTTCCCCTCCCTTTTCTCTCTCTTTCTCATAGAATCAACCCCCCACCCAAGCCCGGTCCTTCCCCAGCGCCCCCCAAAGCCCCACAGGCCACTGCTGCACTCTGGATCACTGCTGCCCTCTGGCGGCCAGCGCTGGGAACCGCGCCCAGTGGAGGCTCGCGCCGGCCCCGGGGGATCTGGAGGGGGCGGCCGGGCGGAGCCGGGTCCTCAGCGCCCCCCTGTCCCCCGGCCGGCTCAGGATGGCCCCGGAGGTGGTGCTGTGCGAGACCATGAAGGACACGCCGTACGACTACAAGGCGGACATCTGGTCGCTGGGCATCACGCTCATCGAGATGGCCCAGATCGAGCCCCCCCACCACGAGCTCAACCCCATGCGGGTCCTGCTCAAGATCGCCAAGTCGGACCCCCCGACACTGCTGACGCCGTCCAAGTGGTAGGGGGGCCAGGCGGGGGGGCCCGCGGCCGTAGGGGGCGTCCCTGCTGGGGCCCGGGCATGTCCCTCTGCTGCTCAGATGCCCGTGACCCCCCACCACCTGTTCAGCCGGGTGACACGTTTCCCACCACCAGGTCCGCGGACTTCCGGGACTTCCTGAGGATGGCGCTGGACAAGAGCCCTGAGAGCCGGCCCAGCGCCACGCAGCTGCTGGAGGTGTGGCCGCCCCTCCCCCTCAGCCCCCCTAGGAGGGAGTGCTCTGGGTGGGGCTCTGGGGTGCTCATTCCTGGGGCTGGCAGAGGCCTAGGGCGTGGGTCACTCTACAGCAGGCCATGGGGCTCCAGGGGACACCCCCCCGCGACTGCCCCCAGGGAATGGAGTCCTGGGCACAGGGCGTCAGCCTTGCCCCGACATACAGGGGCTCAGAGAACAGCTGGCCGAGGGACCCCCACCAGCCCACGTGAGAGAGCTTCCAAAATGCTCTCAGCTCAGAGGCCCCACTCAGCTCGAGACTCGGTGGCCCTCGGGGCTTCACCTAGGGCGCTAAGTGGGGAACTCCCCGGTCTAGGGGCCAGCGGCACCACGGCCAGGCCACCTGGGGGCTTAGCCAGGACCCAAGGACTGAGGGGGGTTTGCCATGGGGGGACACTCTCTGACATGGCCCCTCACACCCGCTGGCTGTGGGGAACGGGAGGGTCTCACTCAGGATGGTTTTCTGGGGACTTGAGATCCTGGGGGTGCCCGGCCTAGCCCCACTTCCTGGCCTGCTGGCCCCGGTCAGCTGACGGTCATCCCAGCGCCCCGTCTCCTCTCTAGAGGACGTGGGTGACAGATGAACAGACAGGACACTGAGTCCACTCCGCTGGGGAGCCGTCCTCGGCGAGGGCTGTCCAGCACGCGGAGAGGAATCGTGGGCTCAGCGAGTCGGGGGGCTGCTCTCTGCCGGGCGGGTGGGTCTGCCACCGGACTGCACGTGGGGGTGGGGGTCCAGGCCTCTGCTGTCACCCCCCAGGCATGCAGCTCCAGGCCCCTGCGGCCAGGACGTCCGGCTTCCAGACCATCCCACCGAGAGCAGAACAGCTGCCCCGGCCTCGTCCCAGCTGCACTCAGGAATTTCCTGGGTTGCAAAATCCTGACCGCGCCCCAGGCCCGGCACCCGCCCCCAACTCAGCAGCACGGCCGGGGCTGCTGAGACAGGGTGTGGGGTGGAGGAGACAGTGAGCGAGGACCCACCTGTGTGAAGGGGAGACAGTGCTTGGGCACCCTCTGATGCTCTTGGGCCAGTGCTCTGAGGCTCGGTGCAGATTTCTGAAGCCAGTCTGGGAAGGCAGCTGCCCTGGCCGGGGACCTCGGTGCACCCGGGGACAGGTTCCCTCTGACATCCTTGGGGTGTCTGAACGGGCTGAGCCGCAGCCCAGGCAGCAAGTTCGAGTTCCTGCTGGAGACAGGACAGTGGCCTGAGGCACTGGCCTTGCACGTGCTGATGCAGGTCCCATTTCTGGCAGCCCACAGGGGTCCCTGCTGGGAGTGACCTCTGAGAGCAGAGTCAGGATGTGGCCCCCAAACTAACTCCCTGCTGGGCTCCGGCCAGCCCGGGGTATTCTCTGCCAGAGAAGAGTCCTCCGCCATCCGGCCCCCCTGTCAGCACCCCCGGGAGGCCCCCCCTGACCCCCTACTGTCCGGGCCCCAAACACCCCTGGGAGAACCCTCACTGTCTGGGCTTCAAGCACCCCTGGGAGACCCCTGACCCCCCTGTCCGGCCCTCAGCACCCCTGGGAGACCCCTGATCCCCTGGGAGACCTCTGACCCCCCACTGTCTGGGCCCCAGCATCCCTGGGAGACTTCTGACCCCCTGTCTGGTCCCCAGAACCCCTGGGAGACCCCGGACCCCCCAGTGTCCGGCCCCCAGCACCCCTGGGAGACCCCTGACCCCCCTGTTCGGCCCTCAGCACCCCTGACCCCCCGTCTAGCCCCCAGCACCCCTGGGAGACCCTTGACCCCCCACTGTCTGGCCCCCAGCACCCCTGGGAGACCTCTGACTCCCCCACTGTCCGGCCCCCAGCACCCCTGGGAGACCCCTGACTCCCCTGTCTGACCCCCAGCACCCCTGGGAGACCCCTGACCCCCTGTCTGGCCCTCAGCACCCCTGGGAGACCCCTGACCCCCCATTGTCTGGCCCTCAGCACCCCTGGGAGACCCCTGACCCCCTGTCTGGCCCTCAGCACCCCTGGGAGACCCTGACCCCCCATTGTCTGGCCCCCAGCACCCCTGGGAGACCCCTGACCCCTCTGTCTGGCCCCCAGCATCCCTTTGTCCGTGGTGTGAGCAGCAACAAGGCCTTGCGGGAGCTGGTGGCGGAGGCCAAGGCTGAGGTGATGGAGGAGATCGAGCACGGCCAGGACGAGGTGGAGGACGAGGACACTGCGGACCCCGCAGACGCCGCCCCTGTGAATGTACGCTGAAGGCTTTGGGTGCAGGCGCCCCTCAGACCACAGACCCCTGCCGAGCAGGGCAGGGCGTGTGGGGACTTTTCCCCGCGTCTTCTCCCTGGCGGTGCTTAGGGGCGGCTCCTGGCGGGGTCGGGGACCCTGTGCTTTTGTTTGGCCTTTTATGGGAACGTTGTTGTGTGTGGCATGGCCACGTTGCAGCAAGTGTGTGAGGGTCAGAGCCCCCGGGGGTCCTCAGTCCTTTAAACAGGCCCTGGAGCTGTTTCCGGGTGGGCATTGGGGAGTGGCAGAGACGGGCAATGATTTTCTCACCTCCCTTGTGCGTCTTTTTTTCTTTTTCTTTTAATTTTGCTTTTTGGGTCACACCCAGCGATGCTCAGGGTTTACTCCTGGCTCTGTGCTCAGGAATTACTCCTGGCAGTGCTCGGGCCGGCTTCGTGCAAGGCAGATACCTTACCCGCTGTGCTATTGCTCCAGCCCCACTGTGTGCATGTGTGCATCTCTGACTGGTGCCAGGGCCACAGCTGGGGGGGGATGGGGTCGTGCCGAGGGGCGGGTCTTAAAGATCTCCCAACCCCGTACCTCCCCCCCACACAGCCTCCAGGGACCCATGCACGCAACCCCTCCGACACCAGCGAGCTGAGCCTCAAGGAGTCGCCGCCCAGCCAGCCCCAAAGCAGCGTCAACGGGCCCAGCGTCAACGGGCCCGCAGATGGAGTGCCGTCAGCCGTCGACAAGCACGACAATGGCCCCGTGGCACCTGCACCCCTGCGGAAAGCCCGGCCCGTGTCTGTGGGTGCCCGGATCCAGGACTCAGAGGAGCCGAAAGCCGGCCCGGTGGGTGCCACGCCCCAGCGCCCGGCCCAGAGCCGGCCGAGCAGCAGTGCCCTGGAGGGCCTGACCCTCCCCTCGCAGCCCCCCGACGCGTCCAGGAGGGACTCGGCCTGCAGCACCGTGTCCACCTCCGAGAGCACCGAGGGCGGCAGCTCCTCGCTCTCGGCTGACCTGGCCATCAACAAGGAGACGGGGTCCCTGTCCCTCAAGGTGATGCCCTGCCCTCTGCGGGGGGCTGTGTCCTGGGGCGTGGGGGCAGGAGGATGACGGCTCCTTCTGGGGGTTCGTGGCAGCCTTGGCTCAGTGCCCTTCCTGTACAGCTCAGAGAGGTGGGCACAGGCCCCCCTAAAACACCCCCACCCACGTGCATGGGGGCTGCTTATTTTCACGGATGGGAGTTAGGGGCGCGTTCCTGGGGAGGAAGAGCTTTGGGAGCCAGAGGCGTTCCCGGGCGAAGGGGGTGCTCAGTGTCCACAGCCCGCTGTGACCTCGGAACCCCCGGGAGCCCCCACCATCGGGGTGCAGAGACGGGGGTGAGGGGCGGCGGGAGGGGCTGAGCTCTGCCCCCCCCACCCCCCAGGACTCCAGGCAGAACAAAAAGACCCTTAAAAGGACCCGTAGGTTCGTGGTGGACGGCGTGGAGGTGAGCGTGACCACGTCCAAGATCATCAGCGAGGACGAGAAGAAGGACGAGGACATGCGCTTTCTCAGGCAGGCGCCCGGCTGCCCCTGCCCACAAGCAGGACACAGGGAGATGGGGGGGGGGGGGAGCTGGCTTGGGCAGCGGTGCTGGCTTGCGTGCTGCTGACCCCGACCAGCCTGAGTGCCACACAGGGTCCCCCTGAGCACCGCCGGGTGTGACCCCCAAGCCCAAGGGAACTTACATGACCCCCAGCTCAGTGCTGTACACGCCCACCCACTCACCTGTCGTCCAGCTGCTGAGTGGGGGGTGGCCACACGCTTGTCCGCACACCTGTCCACCTGCCTAGAGTGGGGAATGTGCATCCACCCCTCCCTCCCTCTGCCCACTCACCCCTCCATCCATCCATCCACCCACCCATCCTTCCATCCCTTCCTCCACTCGCACCCCCCTCCTTCCTCTCCCAACCCCCGCTGCCCAGAGGGGCAGTGTTCACCGCTGCCTCCTGTCTGTCCATCTCACCGGCCCACCCATCTCTGTCCGTCCGGCTTGTCCTGTCGTCTCCCTCATCTTGGGGTGGGGGGTTTACCTCCCCAGCAGGACTCGGGGCCGGGGACCACTCCCATGAACCCTTGGTGTGCCCTGGCCGCCCTGGGGCGGGCGGCTTGAGGGAGGGAAGCCGGGCCTGCGAGCGAGGCCGGACCTGGCCCTGGGGGGCCCCCGCCGGTTCGGGGCGCCCGCAGACGCCCTCCCTCCCCTCCCCCAGGCGCCAGGAGCTGCGGGAGCTGCGGCTGCTGCAGAAGGAGGAGCACCGCAACCAGGCGCAGCTGAGCAGCCGGCACGAGCTGCAGCTGGAGCAGATGCAGAAGCGCTTCGAGCAGGAGATGAGCGTGCGTGCGGGCGGGGGCCGGGGGTCCCGCGGGGCCAGGGGGCTCCAGCGCACGGAGGCTGAGTGCCCGTGGCCGCCGCCGCCGCCCTGTGCTCGCAGGCCAAGAAGAAGTTCTTCGACACGGAGCTGGAGAACCTGGAGCGGCAGCAGAAGCAGCAGGTGGAGCGGATGGAGCAGGACCACGCGGTGCGCCGGCGGGACGAGGCCAAGCGCCTGCGGCAGAAGCAGGAGGCCGACTACGCGCGCTTCCAGGACGAGCTCCGGCTGCGGAAGAAGGAGGTGGGCGCGCGCCGCGGGGGCGCTTCCCCACCGCGTGCGCGCCGGGCTCGTGTGCGCGCGCGTGTGGTGCGGGCCTAGGGTTGCGCGCGCCCACGCTTGTGTGCACGTGCGTGTGCTTGTGTGCGCCCACGCTTGTGTGCACGTGCGTGTGCTTGTGTGCGCCCACGCTTGTGTGCACGTGCGTGTGCTCGTGTGCATATGCGTGTGCTCGTGTGCACATGTGTGCTTGTGTGCGCCCATGCTTGTGTGCCCGTGCGTGTGTGCGCATGCGTGTGCTTGTGTGCACACTCATGCTTGTATGCACGTGTGCTTGTGTGCGTCCATGCTTGTGTGCACATGTGTGTGCTTGTGTGCACATGCATGCCTCTATGCACGTGTACTTGCATCACGTTTGTGTGCACATGCGTGTGCTTTTGTGCGCATGTGTGTGTGCACATGCGTGTTTGTGTGCGCATGCATGCTTGTATGCACGTGTGCTTGCGTGCACGTTTGTGTGTGCATGTGTGCTTGTGTGCGCATGTGTGTGGTGTGCGCCTATGGTTGTGTGCGCCCATGCTTGTGTGCACATGCATGCTTGCTTGCACGTTTGTGTGCGCCCATGCGTGTGTGCTCACGCGTGTGCTTGTGTGCACATGTATGCTTGTATGCATGTGTGTGCTTACATGCACGTTTGTGTGCACACGCGTGTGCTCATGTGCATATATGTGCTTGTGTGCGCCCATGCTTGTGTGCATGTGTGTGCTTGTGTGCACATGTATGCTTGCATGCACGTGTGCTTGCATGCACGTTTGTGTGCACATGCGTGTGCTTGTGTGCACATGTGCGCTTGTATGCACGTGTGTGCTTGTGTGCGCATGCATGTGCTTGTATGTGCATGTGTGCACATGCGTGTGTGCATCCTGGCTTGTGTGCGTGCATGTGCGTGTCCATCGTGGTTCACCTCTCCGACCTCCCCTCCTTGCATTTCAGCCCCTTCAACGTCCCCCTCTGTCAGGCCGTGTGCGCCCACCCTGGCCCCTCCCCCCAGCATGGAATTCCTCCCGGTGCTCCCCCTGCCTCTGAGGGGAGGGCCTATCTGCGGGAGCTGGTGGAGGGACTGGGGGGCCCCCGTGTGGTGGTGGCGATGGCACCCGACTCCTGCCTGGGCTCTTGGGGGCTTTCTGGGGGCAAGCACAGAGCCCCGAGGGACCCAAAGGGGCAGTTCTTGGAGGACAGGGTGGACTCCACGCAGGACAGGCAGAGGCTTGGGCATCCAGGGCCCTGAATGACCCCTGGCCTCCCCACCGCTCTGGTGCAGGTGAAGAATGAGGTGGAGAAGCTGCCCCGGCAGCAGCGGAAGGAGAACCTGAAGCTGAAGATGGAGGAGCACGCGCAGAAAAAGCAGCAGCTTGTAAGTCCCCGCCCGTTCATGGCTTACCCGTCGTCACCTCCCCTGTGCAGCCCTCCCTGACTGCTCCCAGGACACACCCCTGCCCTGTGCCTTGTTTGGTGCTGGTCACATCTCTTGACCCAACTTGCACAGACTCTGGGTGTCGTTCCTATCTGTGTGTCGCGGGGGTCACTGTCCACCACTCCTATCGGGTGGGGAGCCTGGCCATCAGAGTTCGCCCGATTGTGGCTCTCAGAGGTCCCCACATCCCCTAGACCTGGAGGTGCCGGGGTCCCCTGTGTGCTGTTGCCTGGCCAGCAGGTCCCCCACCTTCTCCTCCATGTTTCCCCGGGGCCCCATCTCAGTGTGGCAAGTCGCAGGGGCCCAGAACTGCTGGGGCGCGTCCTTGGATGGTGGGCCGGTGTGGGGGATGGGACGGCTGCACTGCTGTGCCCTCGCCCGCTTGCCGGCTCCGAGCCCACGTGGGCAGCGGGCACGGGAGGGACAAACGGGCGGCCCTGGGTCCTCTGGCCGCGGGGGCCGTGCTGAGCCCAGCCCCGTCCCCCAGGACCGGGACTTCCTGGCCAAGCAGAAGGAGGACCTGGAGCAGGCCATGCGGAAGGTCACGGCCGACAACAGGCGCGAGATCTGCAACAAGGAGCGCGAGTGTCTCAACAAGAAGCAGGGGCTGCTGCGAGGTGGGGGTTTGGGGGGCTCGGGGGCGCCCCAGCACCAGCTGCCCCCGGCCTGGCCGCCGGCAAGGCTGGAGGAGTCTCTCTCCCCACCGCAGGGACGCTCCGGGGCCCGCGTACGCGTGTCCCCGTGAGGGTCTCTGAGGGGGCCGTGCTGTCCGTCTGTCCGTCTGCAGACCGCGAGGCGGCCCTGTGGGAGATGGAGGAGCTGCAGCTGCAGGAGCGGCACCAGCTGCTCAAACAGCAGCTCAAGGACCAGTATTTCCTGCAGCGGCACGAGCTGATGCGGAAGCACGAGAAGGTGAGGCAGGGACCAGCCCCCGGACTCCCGGGGGAGGAGGTGAGGGGTTCCGGCCGGCAGGGGTCAGCTCACTGGACTCCCCAAAAGGTGACGGGGTCCTGGCTGGCAGGAACCAGCCCCCTTAACTCCCCCCTGGAGCTGAGAGGTCCTGGCCGGTGGGGATCAGCACCCTGGACTCCCTGGGAGGTGAGGGATCCAGGCCAACAGGGATCAGCCCCCTGAACTCCAGAGGGAGGAGGTGAGGGGTCCCGACTGGCAGGGGCCATCCCCCTGGACTCCCCCAGGAAGTGAGGGACTCCGGGCTGGCAGGGACCAGCCCCCTGGACTCCCCAGAAGGTGACGGGGTCCTGGCTGGCAGGGACCAGCCCCCTTAACTCCCCCCTGGAGGTGAGAGGTCCTGGCCGGTGAGGATCAGCACCCTGGACTCCCTGGGAGGTGAGGGGTCCAGGCCAACAGGGATCAGCCCCCTGAACTCCAGAGGGAGGAGGTGAGGGGTCCCGGCTGGCAGGGACCAGCCCCCTGGACTCCCCTGGGAGGTGAGGGGTTCCCGGCCAGCAGGGATCATCCCCCTGAACTCCAAGGGGAGGAGGTGAGGGGGTCCTGGCTGGTAGGGATCAGCCCCCTGGACTCCCCAGAAGGTGACGGGGTCCTGGCTGGCAGGGATCAGCCCCCTTAACTCCCCCCTGGAGGTGAGAGGTCCTGGCCGGTGGGGATCAGCATCCTGGACTCCCTGGGAGGTGAGGGGTCCCGGCCAGCAGGGATCAACCCCCTGAACTCCAGGGAGAGGAGGTGAAGGGTCCCCGCTGGCAAGGGTCAGCCCCCTGGACTCTCCTGGGAGGTGAGGGGGTTGTGGCTGGCAGGGATCAGCCCCCTGGACTCTCCTGGGAGGTGAGGGGTCCTGGCCAACAGGGATCAGCCCCCTGAACTCCCCCCTGGAGGTGACAGATCCTGGCCGGTGGGGATCAGCCCCCTGGACTCCCAGGGAGGCAGGAGGGGCCCAGCCGGGTCCCCGCAAGGCCCGGGTGGGGCACAGCGGAGGGGGCAGTTCCCGGGAAGGTCCCCTCTTTCCCTCGGGGGTGCTCAGCCGGGGTGGGCGGCCGCGTGGACGGACACGGTCCCCGTCGGCGCAGGAGCGGGAGCAGATGCAGCGCTACAACCAGCGCATGCAGGAGCAGCTGCGGCTGCGGCAGCAGCAGGAGCGGGCGCGGCTGCCCAAGATCCAGCGCAGTGAGGGCAAGACCCGCATGGCCATGTACAAGAAGAGCCTGCACATCGCGGGGGCGCCCGCCGCCCAGCAGCGCGACCGCGTCAAGCAGGTGGGAGGGGCTGCTGCCCGCCCCCCCCCGGGAGGCTGGGTGGGTCCCTGGGCCCGGCAACCCCCTGACCGACAGACCCCCCCGCCCCCCAGTTCTCCATGCAGGAGGAGAAGAGGCAGAAGTCGGAGCGGCTGCAGCAGCAGCAGAAGCACGAGAACCAGACGCGGGACATGACGGCCCAGTGCGACGCCAACATGGAAGAGCTGCAGCAGCTGCAGGTGCCCCCGGGAGGGGCGGAGGACAGCGGGGGGGGGCGGCTGGGGGCCCCCAATAAACTGACCCCAGGGAAAGGGGAGAGGCAAATGCAGCCGCGCTCGGGCTTCAGATGCTCCAGAGGAAACTTGGGTGCGTGTCTCGACCTCTCAGGCCGGGCTGGCACCTGGAAACCCGTTAGCCAGGGTTCAGCCAGAGAGACGTGGGCAAAGCCGTCCCCCGGGGAGATGGTGCCCCCACCTGGCAGGGTAGGCTCAGGGCGCCCCTTGTGGTAGGGGTCGGCATTGCAGGGATCAAGGCTGCCCACCGGCCCCAGTTGTGTGTGTGTGTGTGTGTGGGGGGGGAACCAGGCATGAAACCCTCAGCCAGCGTCCACCCTGCAGTGCAGGGGTGTCCGAGTACAGGATCCCGGGTGACTCACTCCAGTGCCAGCGGAGCTGCAGGGTCCTGGGGTCAGCTGGCAGAGGACCGGCACCCCCTGACCCCTGACCTGCAGCGTCCGTCCTGCCCCCGGGGCGCCCCCTCTGGGCACTCAGCTGCCTTCCGGCTCACCCACCGAGGGCCAGCCTGCGGTGCAGCCGGGGGTCCGTCCTGGAGTTCTGCAGGACCCCCGGGATGGATGTCTCATGTCTCGGCCTGCCCTGACCCGTCCTGCCGGGACTTGTGTTTTCAGCGGGAAAAGTGCCACCTGCTGGTGGAGCTGGAGGAGCAGAAGCTGAAGGCCCTGGACGAGAGCCACAGCCAGATCCTCCGGGAGTGGCGGGACCAGCTCCGGCCGCGCAAGAAGGTAGCGTGCGCGTGTGTGTGTGCATGCATGCGTGTGTTTGCATGAGCATGCATGCGTGTGAGTGTGTGTGTGTGAGATTTGGGAGTCCGTCGCCCCAACCCCCCCCACCCCACCCCCCCCCGGGCCTTGCTAAGGCTGTGCCTACTCAGTCCACTTCTCTGTGCTGGCTGTACCCAGAGGGCTGTGAGCTGACCTGGGAAGGGTCACTCCTACTCTCATGTCTTTCAGGGAGGGAGGGAGGGCTGTGTTGGGAATGACCCTGGGCCAGTGCCCAGTACCTGCGGGCAGGACCTCCCGAGCCGGGCCCGCCCCCCTGCGGCAGACACCGCACCCAGGACCTCACATTCACCCTCCCAGTGCCCGGCACCCCCCAGCCACACCATCTCCCTGCTTCCCGGTTGCCCGGGGTATCTGAAGTGCCGTCCATCCGTCCCCTGCCCCACATCACAGTCTGGCCTGGGCTCTGTGGTCTCGGCACGTGAAGCCTCTTGACGTGTGGTTTCTGACGGGCTCTGACCGTGTAGAGACGCGGGGGAGGGGCAACGGCTGAGCCTGAGGCTGCCCAGTCCCGGTGTCCACCCTGGGTCAGTGAGTCAGTGGAGTGAGAGTCTCTGCTTCATGGGTGCCCTGCACACTGCCCTGTCCCTGACCCGCAGGGTCCCCGCTGGGCTGAAAGACCCCTTACCTGAGATGCCGAGGGGGAGGCGGCAGGTCCGGGAAGCTCACTCAGCCAGCAGCACACCCTGCCAATGGCACTGACCACGAGGGCCACTCCCGGGGCGCTCGGACACGGCGGCCGGCAAAGGGCAGGAAAGCAGGGGCCAGAGGGGGACGCCAAGGCCGCTCCCTTGTGGGGACCTAACCGGGCGCAGCCTCGCCTGCAGTGTGGGGACCCTGGTTGGGCCCTCCTTCTGGCCCCCTCCTGGCTGTGGGACCCAGGGCCGGTGGCTCAGCCTCTCTGGGCTCCCAAAGCCCCGAGCTGGTGTTCCCAGAGCAGAAGCAACAGGCACGGCGGCTGGTCGCCTCTGAGCAGGAGGGAGTGGGGGGCGAGGGGGTCCACTCGGGCCGCAGAGCTGAGAGCAGCCCCCCCATCCTGTCGGTCTCTGAGCACCGTTCTTGGGGCACGTGGGGTCCTTCCGGAGGGTGCCCCAGGGGGCCGGAGCGATGGGACAGTGGGGAGGGCGCTGGCCTTGCATGTGACGGGCCTGGGTTCAATCCCCTGTACCCCCATGGGACCCCCTGAGCCTGCCAGGAGGGATCCCTGAGCGCAGAGCCCTGAGCACTGCCGGGTGGGCCCCCAACACACCGAAACACCAAGATGTGCTCAGGGGACAAGGTACCCCGGGGGGCTGCAGGAACGGAGCCAGCCTGGCATCCGGGGCACTGACATCCAGCCCGGGCTCTCTCCCCTGCCCGTGCAGGCGCTGGAGGACGAGCTGAACCAGAAGAAGCTGGAGCAGGAGCAGTTCTTCACGCTCAAGGAGGAGGCCGAGTCCCCGGAGCCCACCACCCCCAGCAAAGGCGCCAAGTTCTTCCCCTACAGCGCCCTGGACGCCCCCTAGCGGCCCCCGCCCCATTCTCTGTCCACACGTCACTCAGGACTCCCGGCCCCGCTCCCAGCTCCTGCCCTGCCCCCCACGCCCCGTCTGAGTCCCAGCCCCGGGGGGGGGGGGGGGCAGGGCCGGCAGAATGGTGCCCTGTGACCCCCAGGCTCCCTGCTTTTGCCAAAACGCCGGTACAGCCGTGCTCTCCACTGGCTGTGCTGGGCCTGGGGTCTTCGAGCCCCCAGAGACTGCCCCCAGGCCCCCCGCAGCCAACTCCCCAATGAAAGCAGGGCTCAAACCCGCAGGGAGAGGAGGCCTTCTTCACGGAGCCCAGCCCCCCACAACCCCCGGCACCCCAGTCTTGGGACGTGGAGGTGGAGGCTGGTCTTGGGGGGGTCCCCGCTGTGCGGGCTGGGGGTCCGTCGGTGAGCACCCGCTGTCGGTTCCCACCCACCCAGGCGCCCGAGTCTCAGGGGCTGGGGGAGGCCACTGGGGGGTTGTGCCTGGCTGGGCGCGTCCCCCCGCCCCTCTCGAGGAGATACTGCCCCCACTGCAGCCTTCCCCACTCCCCCCCTTGCCAGCAGAGCTGGCCCTGTGCCCCCTCCCCGTCTGAGAAGGTCAGAAACAGCCCAGCACTGAAAGACCATAAAAGGGTCTTTGCAACTATGACAAAGCCAGGATAGAGAAGACTGAACGCAGCGGGATCACAGATGTGCCCCCACGGTGACAGCCCAAAGAAACACAGCAGGCCAGCCTAGAGACAAGCAGAGCAGACTACGGACAGACAGACAGACAGAGCCCAGATTCGCCCGGCACGCACTTGGCCAGCCTCGGAGCCCTGGGAGCAACAGGGACTTCATGGTTGAGACCACCTTTGCCAGAAGTCGTAACGGAGACGTCCCGGCACGGAGCGCGCCTCGCCACACCAGATTAGGGTTCAAACACAGCTACCGACAACACCAGAGGATGCCACTAGTCATTCTTCCCGGGAGACCAAGGACTAGCGTTTTCTAATAAAGATGAGACATCTGTGTTCTGGTGGTCGTTCAGGTGGGACGGCCGGGCGAGGCCCCAGCTGAGGGGGGGGGGTCACCGTGTGGGTTCTCTGCAGACGAGCAGAACGTGTGCGGGTGACACGTGGTGGGACATGTGTGCGTGTGTGGGGGGGTGTGTGGGATGTGTGAATGTGAGAGGGACTTTGTGTGTGGGACGTGAGCATGTGTGTGTGGGATGTGAGAGTGTGTGTGAGAGACATAGGAATGTGGGTATGTGTGACATTAGTGTGGGGTTGTGTGTGGGACATGCACACGTGTGTGAGATGTGTGTGAGAGAGAATGTGTGTTTGTGTGAGAGTGTGTGTGAGAGGGGGGAGAGAATGTGTGAGAGGGTGTGTGTGTGAGAGAATGTATGTTTGTGTGTGTGAGAAGAGTGTGTGAGAGAGAGGGGGAGAGAGAGTGTGAGAGATTGTGTATGTGCGAGAATGTGTGTGTGTGAGAAGAGTGTATGGGAGAGAGGGCGAGAGAGTGTGAGAATGTGTGTGTGAGAGAGAATGTCTTTGTGTGTGTGAAAAAAGAGTGTGTGATAGAGGGGGAGAGAGTGTGTGTGAGAATGTGTGTGTGTGAGAAAGAATGTTTGTGTGTGTAAGAGAAGGGGAGAGAGAATGTGTGTGAGAGAGGGAGTGTGTGAGAGAGAATGTTTGTGTGTGTGTGTGTGAGTGTGTGTAAGAGAGAGGGGGAGAGTGTGTGTCTGAGGGAGAAGGAGCCCACTACAGCGAAGGCCCAACTCACCGACATCTGCAAACTGCTGACTCCTGGCAGCCGAGGTGGCCGGCCCCGCTCCAAGCCCGGTGGCCAGCTGGGCGAGACAGACGGGTCACTGCACGGGGCTGCCCGAGGCCGCAGCACACCGAGCTGGAGCAAGAAGATGGGGCCCTCACCGGTCAGGGACCACATCTGACAGAGAGGGGAAGGGCTGTGGGGGGGCAGTGGGGGGGCAGAAGCCCTCCCTGCTCTAGGGTGAGCAGCCCCAGAAGCGCCCGCAAGCACGCACGGCGGGGCAGTGAGGGCCGGGGGTGTCAGGTGAGAAGGCGGCAGGACGTTGGTCCAGGGAACGGGGACCCCTCGGGCTCCCACCTGGACCCTCGCTCTGCAGCCACCTGCAGAGGGACCCAGCAGAGTTGGGGAAACTGAGGCACACACCCCACCCCTGCTTTCTTGGACAGCAGGCAGGGCTGTCCACAGACTCCACCGCCAGGCCCGGAGGCCAGGTGCCCAGGAGGGAGACCCAGCTCTATGGGTCTGGTCATGGGAGGCAGGAACCGCTCCAGCATCTCCTCATGGGCTGGTCCATCCCCGCAGACTCGCAAAACAGGGGCCACAGCACCGCCTGGTGGAGAGACACCGCCAATGCCGCCACAGTGGAGGAGCCCTTTCCCACAGGCACCGGAATGGGGCGTTTAGGACAAATGACTCAAAATGATCATCCTGGTTACAACTGCATCAAAATAGGTAAAATAGGGGCCTGAGAGATAGTCCAGCGGGTAGGGCGTTTGCCTTGCCCGCGGCCGATCACTGAGCATCACCGGGTGGGGCCCAAGAAGCCACAGGACGTCTGTCTTGCACGTGGCCAACCTGGGTTCAATCCCCAGGCTCCTCCCAGTCCTGCCAGGAGTAAGCCCTCAGACCCACAGGGTAGAGCCTCCAAAATGAAAATAAATAAAATACTTGGAAGTCAATCTAGCAAAGTATATGAAAGAACTGTACAATAAAAAATGGTAAGGCACTTTTTTTTGGTACAACAAATACAAAGAAGTGGAAAGACATACCATGTTTATGGATTAGAAGAACAAACACAAATAAAATGACCGTCTTACCCAAAGCAACCTACATGATTCAAAGTAATCTATATAAAAAAAATTGTCAATGGCCATTTTTTCAAGGAAATAGGACAAATAATTCTAATACTTGAATGTAAAGATAATGAGATATCATAAAAAATGTTCTGATAAGATTTTTTTATGATATCTCATTATCTCATTCCTACTCTGGACAAACTTGCAGGCTATCGAATATAGCCTGCCCACAGGGCAGAGTCTGGCAAACTCCCCGTGGCGCACCAAATATGCCAAATACCAGTAACAATGATGGGTCTCATTCTCCTAAAGAGCCGTGAATATAATCTCAGGGCTAGGATGAAAGAGACGTTACTGGGGCCTGCTCGAGCCAATCGACGAATAACAGGATGATGAAATGAAAATGAAAAATGAATGTAAAGAAAAACGGCCTCCGATTCCCAAAGCAGTGCGACGACCGATCACGACCATCCTGTTGTTCGTCGATTGCCTCGAGCAGGCCCCAGTAACGTCTCCTTCATCCTAGCCCTGAGATTATATTCAAGGCTCTTTAGGGCTGGAGTGATAGCACAGCGGGTAGGGCGTTCGCCTTACAAGCGGCCAACATGGCCAACCCGAGTTCGATTCCTCCGCCCCTCTCGGAGAGCCCGGCAAGCTACCGAGAGTATTCGATATGCCAGACACAGTAACAACAAAGTCTCCAATGGAGACGTTACTGGGCCCGCTCGAGCAAATCGACGATCAACGGGAGGGCCTTTACCTTTACCTTAGGAGAACGAGACCCATCATTGTTACCGGTATTTGGCATATTGGGTACGCCAAGGGGAGTTTGCCAGACTCTGCCGTGTGCGCAGGCTACATTCGGTAGCCTGCCAGTTTGTCCAAAGTAAGAATGAGATAATAAGATGTAGCACAGTCGCAAATGCGGCCATGCGCTTCCGGGAGCTGGGTTTTATAGTCTCTGGGTCTTGGCCATTGATGGGATTACACAGCGCCAGGGGGCCAGTTGGTGGGTGTGACCCCCGCCTACTGGAATTTGGAGGATCTGGGTGGAGGATGCTCAGCCCCGATCCGGGCAGGCTTGGAGATCTCAGCCCCGGGACCCGCATGCCTTTGTTCCTCTGCCGGTACCTTCATGTGTGCGGAGAGTGGTCTCAGCATGGTGGTGGCTGGTTCTGGAGGTCTTCGGCTGCCGGAGCCCTGGTCGGGGCGGGGAGGAAAGCTCAACCCGCTCCCCTCCAAGGGGCCCCAGCGGGGACAGCCAGGCACGGGGGCAGGAGACTCTGCATAGATAGCATTAGGAAAATAGATATCTACTCGCAAATGAATGAAATTAGAGACTCCCAAAGCAATACACTGAGAGAAAAGAAGATTTGAGAGATAGTAGGGTGTTTGCCTTGCCTGGGGCCCACCAGGGTTTGATCCCTGACATAGCAAACAGTCCCCCGAGCCAGAAGTCAGACCTGGGCACAGACAGGTGTGGCCCCCAAACCAAAAACAAATTGAAAAAAAAAAAGGAAAGAAAATTGGAGGCATTACATCCCCTGACTTCAAACACTAATTAAAACCGTGTGGTCCTACAACAAAAAGACACGCAGACCAATGGAATGAGCAAGCCCCCCACCCCCCGATAAACCCATACATCTGTGAAGACGTACAACACGGGGGCCAACACCTTAAGTGGAGGGAAGACAGACTCTTGAATAGCCGACGACGACTGGTCATGTTAAGAGATTGTGGGTCTGGTTTCGCTCGGGGGGACGCTAGGTGTGTGGGGACTGAACCTGGGTCACCGTGCGCAGGGCGGGGAATACACTCTGTGTGACTCCAGTCCCCGGGTTTTAGAATAGAAACTCGGCTCCACTCGTACCTGAACTTGCCAAGGGGAAAGAGTCTTGGGACTTGGTCGCCCCCACTGAGAATTCAGTCGTGGCTGGCTGGAACTGGGGGTGGCCATTCCTTGGGGCTCCCCTACACGGTGGCTGACCCAGGCCCAGGGTCTCCACCAGGATGGGGGTCTCTGCCTGGTCACCGTCTGCTGCTCACGGCTGTGCTACATGGGCCGGTTCGAGCAGGGCACAGTGGACCCCAGCTCTGACCTGCCAGGGGGCACGGAGCGTGAAGGGCTCAAATGCTGCCCCCTCGCTTTTTTAGTCTCTAGACGAAAACTGGCCGGGCCAGGCACAGGCTGAGCGGGGAGCAGCCACTCCAGAAGCCACAGCCAGGAGCAGACCCCCTGGCTGAGCAGCCCAGCAGCGGCCATCCCAAAGCTGGGGCCAGCATGCTTCGGCATCCCACGGGAGAGAGCCGAGAAGGGCAGCTCTCAACAGCTGTTCCTGGGGCAGGAGGACCACAACGTCCAGCCTCAGCCACTGTAAACCGTGCGTGACAGTGAGACTTTGCTGTCATGGCAGCTGCAGGGAATGGGCATCCCAAGATGCACACGACCCAGAGCCAGAGGTCACACAAGCACTGAGAACATCCCCCTGGGGGCCTTGGCAGCCAGACCCCAACGGGTATTTGGAGAAGGAGCACCGGATAGCTGCCCATGCTGGCCACTGCCGGGAGCTCTGTCCACTGTTCGCACCAGGAACAATGGGGGAATGAAGGTTTCAGTGGCATTGCTGGGTGGGGACTGAAGCATAGGTTAGGTTCTCGATGACATCAGGTCTGTGCCCTGCCCAAGGATGACTGCTGAGCCGAAACTCTCTCACGAAGAAACCCACGGAGCAGAGAACCAATCACCTCGAAGAAAGACTGAGGGAATGAAAAATGCAAGAGCCCGTTCAAACAGAAATGAAGGTGATCATAGATACCGCAGGAGACGCCCCAGGACACGGAATCAGCGGCCTCGAAGACACGGCGCACGACACTGCCAAGAAAGAAGGCACAGTGGGGAGTTCTTAAGGAAGACAACTGGCCAGCTCTATCTGACAATACCAAGAGGAACAACTTTGGGACCAGAGAGAGAGCACAGCGGGGAGGGTGTTTGCCTTGCAGGTGGCCTACCTAGGTTGGACCCCCAGCACCCCATATGGTCTTCTGAATTCCGCCAGGAGTAATGACTGAGTGCTGAGGCCTGAGGGGTAAGCCCTGAGCATCACCAGGTGTGACACGCCCCCCCCCCCCCCAAAGACAGAACCCACATGCATTTATCCTATTTATTTTTTGAGTTACACCCAGTGATGCTCAGGGGTTATTCCTGGCTGGATCTGCACTCAGGGGTTATTCCAGATGATGCTAGGGGGACCATATGGGATGCTTGGGATTGAACCCAGGTCGGACACGTGCAAGGCAAATGCCCTGCCTGCTGGACTATCCCTCGGGGCCCGCATTTATCCTGTTTACTGCCTCTGCATTCCCGCAGGGACTGGTCATGACCTGGGACTCGAACCAGCACTGGGGCGGGCTGTTTTTTGAGGAAGTAGGAGCAGACCCTGGAATGACAGATAAGCGTCAGCTGGAAGCGGGCGGCCCCGTAGGCGGCAGAGCTGTTCCGCTTCCCAGATCAAACCCTCAGGCCGCTCCCGCATTCCCAGGCCGGGGAGGCAGTGGGCGAGCGCCCAGGTGGGTGCCGCCTCCCGGGCTCTGAGTCAGCTCAGCCTCCGAAGACTCAGCTGAGTCCAGTCAACCCACAGGACTGTAAGATAAATAAAAAAGCCATTGTTAGTTCAGGCCACTATGTTGTCGGTAACTGGCAGCAGTGGCCTCTTTACTTTTTACTGTATGTCCCCAGGCCCAGACAAGAACTCTGATGGCATTCAGACACATGTGAGTGCAAAAACATAACAATTCTGGCCTTTTTTTTTTCGGGGGGGGGCGCGAATACCCCTACTGTGCAGGGCTTGTCTGTGGACGGGCTGTGTGCAAGAACAGAGCCCTGCACGTTGGACTCTCTGGCCAGCCCTCTTTCTTCCCGGAGCTTCACTTCGGGTGGACAGCCCCACACTGGGACTCAGTGCCGGGGACAAATCCCGTGTTCTGCGGGCATCCGAGTTCTGTGGGCATCGAGTCCCGTCAGAAGGCAGAGGCCACGGAGCAGCTGGGCCCTTCCCTTCACGGATGCAGAGAGTGAAAGCACGTGACAACAGTGCTCTAATGACGGTCTGTGCCTGGCTCCCTAAACCGGCCAGCTGCCTCGGAGAGGTGGGGGGGCGGGGGGGTGTGGCATCACTTTAAAATATTTCTGCTTTGCTTTCAAAATAAATTTCTGATGCTTTAACTTGTTTTAGCTTGACTGGCATGCCCGTTACAGATAGCTCTACCCAGGTCACGTGCAAATCAGTGGAAAAGGAGGCGTGACAAGGGGGGGGGAGAAATTTGACTGTGGGTTCTCCAGTTGAAAGGAATTTCGCAGGCCCCCACACCCCAGACAAGAATCAGGACAGAGCAAGGGGAAAGCACAGGCGCAGTCTGACCCCGATAAAGCAGCGTTGTGCAAACTGCAAGACGGACGCCCCCCACCACCTTCCCTGAGCCCCAGACTGGCAGAGAGGAGGGAGCTGCTTTCTTGCTGCTTTTTGGGAACAATTTCAAGCTCCATCTAGCACTAGTCCCTCCTGCCGGCTAGGATTTGTTAGTACCACTAGTACCACGTTGACCCAGCGCTGGGGCCTGTGTTTGGTGGATCCACCCCTTTGCACCCCCAGACTCTGCAGGGAGAAGCAGGCTTCCCCGCCACAGCCCCCTCCCTCGCAGAATTCAGCTCCGGGAGCGCACAGGCTTGGTCGGGCACGGCCGGGGCATGCTCCGGGCTCATTCCCAGCTCCTAGACGCGTGGTCGGCCTGGGAAGCGAAAACTGGGGGCGGGGAGGGGGGGGCTTCAAACCAGCACGCCCGTCCTCGACTCTTCGCAGCTGAGCCCGGCTCCCATGCACGACCCCGTCGGTTCCGCCCAAAGGAACCTCCGAAGCCCCTGGCAACTGGCGCATCACAGGGTGGGCCCCAAAAAAACAAACAAAAAAAGATGAAAAATAAATGGCCTGAAAGAAAAGGAAGGAAAGGAAAAAGGAAAGAAAGAAAATAAAGGGAAGAAGGGAGGGAAAAAAAGAAAGTGAAGGAAAGAAGAAAAAAGGAAAGAAGAAAGGGAAGGAAAGAAAAAAGGAAAGAAGGGAGAAAAGAAAAAAGGAAAGAGAAAGAAATCGAAGGAAAGAACAAAAATGAAAGAAGAAAAGAAAGGAAAGGAGAAAGCAAAGCGCAGAAAAGCAAGAAGAGCAAAGCGCGAGAGCGAGGGCGGGCCCCGCGCCTCGGGATGCTCCGGGACGCACCTGCCCGCATCAGCCTCCTCCGCCCGCCGCGCAGCGCCGCTACCTGCGCGCCCGCGGGCCCGGCGGCCTCCACCGCGCATGTGCGGAAGCCGGTCGCGCCCGCGGGATCTCAGACGAGCCGCCGGAGTTTCCGCCCGGGGTTGGGGGGCGGGGCGGGGCGGGGGGGGGGGGTCGGCCGGAAGTCAGGCTGTGGGAAGGGGGAGGGGGTGCGGGGTGCGCGTGGGGGGGGCGGGGAGGCGGCGGCGGACTCGCCGCCGGAAGCCGCCTCCGCGCGCGGGGCACGCTGGGAGTTGTGGTCGGGGAGCTGCCCGGATCGCAGCCTCGGCGCGTCCATCGCTCCTCTCGCAGGTCGCGTCCAGGCCGGGCGGGCGGCGGTGTGCGGGGGGGCTGCGGCGCCCGAGCGGCGGGCGGCCGCGGGGCTGGGGGCGGTCCGCGGGCCAGCGCGGGCCGAGCGGGGCGGCCGGGCGGAGCGTGCGGGCCGGCGGGGGCGCGCGCGCGGCGGGGCGCGCGGTGCCTGCCGGGAGTTGTAGTCCGCGGCGAGCGCGGCGCGCGGAGGGCGGAGCTGCCGGCGGCGGCCCGGGCGGGCGGGCGGGCAGCGCGAGTGGGTGCGAGCGGCGCGTCCGCCTCCGCCGCCGCGGCCGTCGCCTCCTCCTCCTCCTCTCCTCCTCCTCCTCCTCCTCTCCCTCTCCCTCTCCTCCTCCTCCTCCTCCTCTCCTCCGCCTCCTCCGCTGCGCCTCCTCCGCTGCGCCTCCTCCGCCCGGGCCGTGCGCCGCCGCGCGGGGCGAGCGAGGCGGGGCCGCCGGGGCCGCCATGGAGCCCGACTCGGTGATCGAGGACAAGACGATCGAGCTCATGGTGAGTGGCCCGGGCGGCCGGGGCTTCCGGCGCCGGACAAAGGCCCCGCGGCCGGGCGGGCGGGCGGGCGGCGGGCGGGCCGGCCCCCACCCCCCGCCGGGCCCCGCGCCCCGCCGCGCCGGGCGCCCGGGGCGTGCAGGGACTCCCTCTCCTCCACCGATTTATTTGCTTGATTTGACTACGGTGAGGAGGAGGAGGAGGAGGAGGATGATGATGATGATGCATTCTTTATTTATTTATTTATTTATTTTTATAAAGAAACAGAATCCGAGAGGGTGGCCCGGTGGTGGCGGTGGTGGTGGTGAAGGGGGGGGTGGGAGGGGGAAGCGGAGGCCTTTTTTTTGCAGCCTCGGTTGGATCCCCGGGTTGGAAAGAAATGAGAACATGGCAGCCCGGTTTGCTTTCTGCCCGTTTGGAGCATTTAGGGAAATGCAGCGAGGCTCCCCCCCTCCCCGAGAGCTGGCGGAGGAGGAAGTCTGGGCCCCGGCGGAGGGACCGGCCCGGGGGTTTCTCCTGCCCCGGGGAAACCTTCATTCCCAGTTTCTTTGTATCACTGGTCAGACAGTAGCAACTGTTTCCTACCACCCCCCAGGGTAAGCGAGGAAAGGGTGAAAGTAAACCTCCTCCACCCGACTAAGAAGATACATATATATAAATAATTTGTTTTCCTCCCCCCCCCCCAGCCAGATTTTTTTTTCTTCCCCCTTCTTCTTTTCTCCAGCGTGAAAATGTGTCTTGAGTCAGGGATCCCAGTGGGTAGGGTCGGTGACATCAGAGCCACTTCCCCCATTTAATGTTATCAATAATCCATGGTGACACGGAGTCTGTTGAGAGCTGCTTGGTGCCTGCGGATGATGGCATCTGGGGAGTTGAGATGCACGTTTTTTTTTTAAATGGAAGGACAGTAGCTTACACACGAGGCCGTTTCATCTCTGCCGCCCTTTGCCTGATGCAGAGCGAAAACTTCCCCAGCGTCCTGGAAAACTAGAGGGAAGAGAAGGGAAGGTGGAAAAGAGAAGAAAGCCCTGCTACTTTCTGGGGTGTGTGTGTGGTTAGTGTGAGTGTGTGTGTGTGTGTGTGCGTGCACACCCTCCCACACGCATTGGGTTGCTTTCTGAGGGATGCTGCCATTTGTGGGTTTTCATTTGGTTTTCATTTATTCAGTTCTCCTCTTCAGTATAATTTCTCAGACCTTGTTACAGTCAAGCCTTTGCTCCGCTGCAGATTTCGTAGTGGGTCTTGGTAAAGATCTTAAGTGGGAATTATATTTATAGTACATATTCTTGTGGCTGTATCATGCATGTATTTATAGCAGGAGGAGTACTTTATATCGACAAATTGTAACTCGGTACCATTTTAAAAGGGGCTGTTCGGTGCTCCCTGCATTCCCATTCACTCGAAAGATTCCTAAGATGGCTATTTCCTGAGACTGAGAATACAGTGTGTCCCATTCATTGCCTTTGACTGTGATTGAAAATATATATATATATATATATCTGCAGATGAATTTTACTGGCCTCCTATGCTCATAACTTAAGAAAGTTGTTATTTTACATGATCGTACTTGTCTATAATCTGAAAAGATAATTCAGCCTTCCTCTAAGACATTATAAGCTGAGATCTTTGAAAAATTTACCAGGGCTTAGTAGTCACCTGGAACAATGCTAACATAGCTTTTCACATAGAGATTTTGATGTTCCCTCAAGGGGAAGCCAGGTGAGATTCTGAGGCCTCCCTTTTCCTGCAAATACTATTTACATGAATGTAGTTGACTTGATGTCCACTTAACAGCCGATACAGTCAATCCAGGACCAGCTGTAGAAGTGCGGAAGCTTAGAAATCCAATTGCAAGTGGTTTTCAGAATTGACTGCTTTTCATTCTTCAGAACTCAGTAGAAATATTTTTTATATTGATTTCAAAATAGCCTGATAGGAGGAGTGAAAGGGGTTTAACTTGGGGGCCGGAGCGATAGCACAGCGGGTAGGGCGTTTGCCTTGTACGCGGCTGACCATGGTTTGATTCCCAGCGTCCCATAGGGTCCCCCGAGCACCGCCAGGAGGAATTCCTGAGTGCAGAGCCAGGAGGAACTCCTGAGCTCTTGCCGGGTGTGACTCCAAAAGCTAAAAACAAAAACAAAGGGGGTTTAACTTGGTGGGTTTTTGTTTCTGTGTTTGGGCCACACCCTGTGGTGCTCAGGGCATACTCTGCTTGGTGGACCTTACAGGGTGCCAGGGATCGAACCTGGGTTGGTCACACGCAAGGCAAGCGCCCTGTATTCGTGACACTTCGAAAGCCTGAACTACGGAAGAGTTTCTGGATTTTAGGAGTGGGTTCTGGTGCTTCAGTATTTGCAGTTGGGCTCTTGACTTCATCTCGACATTCTTTGACTTCAAGTCTTCTTTCTTCTTGCACTTTTGGTCATTTGACTATGGGACAGACGGTCTCTAAACGAGAGAGACAGATTGAGTCGGCAGTGGCCAAGGGTGAATACCGGCGCTCTCATTCAGCCACTGCCCCCCCCATGCCATGTCTATTTTGGGGGAGCTAATGTTTCACCTCCCCCAGCCTCTCCGAGCTTCCCTTAGGAAAGCCTTGGTGTCAGGGCCCTGTCGATTTCTGCTCTGGGCTGGAAGGAAGGAAACCGGGTGAGGTCACGTGGCACCTGCTGACCCGTGCCGGCTAGGCTTTCTGCCTGGGCCTCCTGGTGCCCAGCTCAGCCCGGGCCCTTGTGTGACCCCCTCCCGGGCTTCTCCCTCCCCGCTCTCCACACTGAGCAGGCCGGCTTAGCTGCTGAGTGCTCTTGCTCTGTGCTAAGTGGCCTTAAGTGAGTCATTTCCCCTCTGTTATCTCGGAGTGGGTTACCTGTTGGATGACGTCATGACAGGTCAAATGTGTGACCTCTCCTCCCCTTACTTAGGGGGCTTGTTCACAGCCAACGTGGTTGGGCGGGGTCATGCCTGGTGGTGCCCTGGGACCCGCAGCATACCCGGCCTTTCCCACACGCCAAGCTACGCTCCGGCCACCTCTCTGGCTCCCACATGGGGCCTTTGGAGGAGATGTGTTTTAAAAAATGCCGTTTTTGGAGTTTTTAAAGTCGCCCATCGGGAGACAGGTCATGGAGATGAAAGAAACAGATAAGCAAAGTGCTTGGAAATTTTTTTCTCTATTTTTTTTTTCTCTTTTTGCACTTGGCCCTGGCCCTTGACCGTGGGCTGGCTCAGTGACTCCCGTAAAGAAATCAGATCTGACCCTGTCATCATCCCTGATCCCCACGTATTCGAGCCTCATGTTGATTTGCCAGTGGCAGATTACAGAGGAAGGTTTAAGGTTGGGGCTGGCCGGAGAGGACCTGCGTCAGAGGGGCAGAGACCCAGCTGCCTCCGTCCCTGCCCCTGGGTTTGGAGTAAGCCCGATGGCCCTTCAGCTGGTCAGGGAGAAGGTGGGCGCGAGCCTGATCGCTCACCCCGGAAGCCCGGGGCTCTGGATTCCAGAAAGTCCCCCCTCTGCGCCAGGCTGTTCTCAGGACCCTGCGTTTCGCCAGGGATTGTCGCCTCCTGCCAGGGAGAAGCAGCCTGTCACAGAGCCTCAGTACCCCCACCCCGCTTCTATCGCCCTTTCTCCAGCCGCCCGGGGAGAGGGCTGGGGAGCCCAGCTCGCCGCCGCGTGGGGCAGAATAAAGTCTGCCCGTGCGCTCCTCTCGGGGCACTTCCAGACTCCGGGCTTGGGTGGTCCTTTCCTGCCCGTGGCCCTGATGGGCTCACCTGGGCCTGCCTGGAGGAGGTGTTTCCCGCTGATGGTTCACACGCGTTATTGCTGAGTTTCGCCGCCGGACCAGCAGGCTGCCTAGTTTTTGGTGGTGGTTGTTCATTTCTCGAACTTCTTCACCGAGTGACCAAGGCGGGTCTCCGGGGCCTGCCTCCCTGCCCGTCCCAGGGCTGCCTGTCTCTTCAGGGGCTGTGTCTGATTGTCCCTTGAATCCTCAGAACTTGCCAGTTGGGCGCTTGGGGGGAAGTGCTCGAAATCAGTGTTGGGGCTCTGTGTGATTCTGTGCCAGGAGGTCCTGCCACCTTTGCCAGATGCCCTCTGCTATCCCGAAGACGGAGCGTGTGATGCGTAGAGAGAATCTGGAAAAGGGGCGTGAGGGCCGAGGGCAGCATCCGTCACCCAGGACAGCCAGGGGCCCCTGGGACCACGATACGGACTTCACATACATCCAGGTTGATGAGAGCGGCGTCTTTTCTCTAGCCTCTGGTGCCCGTGAGAAGTGCCAGGAGCAGATCCGCAGCCGCTCTTAGGGAGAAGCGAGATGTAGCCAGAGACTGGGCCGCGATTCCTTGAGCAAGTCTGTTTCCTGGCCGCCACCTGCTCGAGGTGGGCCCTTAAGGACTCCGAAGCCGCTTTGAGCTGCTTCTGGGGTCGGCGGACTTTGCTTGCTCACCAGAGCAGCTCCTTGCAGGCCGGCTTTCCCGGAGTCTGTGAAGCAGAACCTGCACGGGCTGTGGGGAGGGTGGGCTGGGCTCGGCCCCCGCCCCCAGGGGCGCACACATTGATGTGTGGAGCCAGGCAGAGGCGTGGAATTCAGTTGCTTTCAGCCGCGTGTCTTTAAGGTGGCATCTGGGGGGCGGGGGAATGAGGAAATGCCAGTCAGTCCTGCCTGGGAAATCTGGGGGGTCCTGGGGGAGCGCCCGCCCCGCCCCACCCCTCCCGGTGATGAATTCCCATTCACTCCAGCATTGTGACGCAACTTGGATCTGTTGAGTTTCGACTGGGAAATGAAGGCTTTGCAGTTCTCATTTCCGTCTGAGCAAGGCGGGCGAGTTTGACCTCTAACAGAAGGTGCATTGAGCAGGGCTTGAGCAGGGCTTGAGGCGGGCGGGGGTTTCTGGGACCGGCTGACAGACGGGGAGAGGGACCTGTTGGGCGGGCACGTGCCTGTGCCCTTGCTGGAGTTTCTGCTGCTCGCAGTTGCCCAACAGGAAGTTTGTCTTGGTAGGCAAATGCGCTGGCCGACCAGGACGACCTGACTGTCAGGTAGCGTATCTCGCACCCGATCTGGCCATCTCGCAGGCTCCAGTGACACTCCTGTGACACCCCCGTGACGTCGGCAGGAAGTTTTTGAGGTTCAGGGTCAGTCAGCAGGCAGGAGAACCCGGGGGAGAGCACGCCAGGCCTTCACGGGTGGGAAGCGGGGCATAGCAGGACTGGGAGGGGGCTTCCCCCTTCGTGTCAGGGGGCAGAGGGCCGGGCCGGGCCCACCTGTGCTGCTGTTTGGGAGGAAGAGGGAATTCTAGGGGGAAAACGAAGAGAAAAAGGAATTCGAGTCCTCCTCCCCCCCCACCCCCCAGGAGCGTTTGCCCGTTTCCCAGAAGTACAGATCTGAGTGTTCTTGGTGAGTTTGGGGGCGTGGGCCAAGGCAGCGCTTCCCGCATCTGATCGCTCGTGCTCTTTCTCTTTCCGTCTTGACGGTTTGGGGGCACCACTTGGGTCTTGCAGAAGGTGAATTTGACAAGAAGGGGGACTGACTTGCTGGCCCGGGAGCTCCTGGGAGTGAGTCTCTTGCTCAGGTGGTTGTGGGCGTGTTGGCTTGCGCTACTCCGTGTGTCGGGCTCAGGCAGCCGACCTCGTTGTACTGCTCGCTGCTGGCCAGGGCGCGCTCCCCACTGGGCTTCAGTTGGGGGTCCAGTTCAGTCTGCCCCGGGGTAATGCTCGTGGGCAGAGCTTGGCCATTCTGGACTGGCTCGAGCGTCTTGGGAGTTGTGGGGTAGTTGGATCCTCGATGTTCTGGCGAGGTTGATCGTGAGAGGGGTTTCCAGTCACCTCGGCGACTCTGGCAGCGGTGTGGGTCACCAGGGCGCTCCAGGTCACCTTGCTGGGGGATGACACCCGCACCTCGCCCCTCATGTCAGCTTGCCCCGTGGTGGTTGGGTCGGGAGCCGCGCGTCTTGCCACGGCCTGGACCCCAGCGCCGCGTGTCATTTGTTCGCAGGCTCTGTGCGGGAGTCGTGTGGCTCCTGGCCGAGAGGTGACGGGAGGTGGGCCCGGCCCCTTCGCTATGGCACGCCTGCTGGGTGGGAGGTCCGCTTTCAGGACGGGAGGAGGGGCGGGGGCTGAGTTCCCGCCTCTGCGCCCCTCTCTTTTTAAAACCCTTTTTGAGACTTCTGGTGTGCGTGGTGGGTGTGGAGGGCCCAGTCATTGGCCCTCTGGAGAGGGTGGGCTCCTGGGAGCCACACCCGCCTTGGGCGACTGAGTTGTCACCTCTGCCTTCTTCTAAGTGTCTTGTTTGTTTTCTGTTTGGGCCACACCCGGCAGTGCTCAGGTTACTCCTGCTCTGCACTCCTGGCGGTGCCAGGGATTGAATATGGGTCAGCGGCGTGCAGGGCAAGTGCTTGCCGGCGGCTTTACTGCCATCCCTGCCCCTGAGTGCCCTTTCATCTCCCGGACAAGTTGATAAGATTGTGACAGACGCTGCTGCTGCTGCTGCTGCGGTGTCAGCCTGAAGTCCCAGGGAGGTGTCGGCTAGTAAACTGTTTATTGGCGCTGAGGACTTTCCCTCCCAGGCCCTGGCTGAGTCAGAGGTTCACGCGCGAGGTTGTCCGACGCTCGACCAGGTCCAGGTGGGGATCTGGGCCCGGCGGACCGCAGGCGCCTGCCGTGTGGCCGACGCGACTTGGCTGTCGGGTTTCCGCACGCGTCTCGGTCCGGCGGCCCTTTCGGCCACCTCGGCTCACTCACGCCTGCCGTCGCGCTGGCGGGGCTGCGAGAACGCTCCCGGAAACGCTCGGTAGGGCTCTGGACACGCATGCCGTTCACATGTAAGTATGAGCCGCGGTGGCTCTTGCGTGTGCCCTGCAGACCTGCTCGTCCTTCTCTGGCCACGAGGCCTGGGGGACGCCCCCCCGCAGCCGCCCGCACACTCGCTTCCACGCCTGGTGGCCGGCCTCTGCCGCCCGTGCCACGGTGGGTGTACGGATTGCTTTCTGTCTTTCAACAGTTCCCGAAGTGCATGTGTGGGATTTGGTTGAAGAACGCTGGCTCCGGTAATCGGAAAGCATCGGGGACGCTGCTTGCCTGCGCTCTTTTCTCAGACTAGTCTGAAGGGGGATGCCCCACTCAGGCGGGATTGGTGCGGCCGAAGGGCAGAATATCCTCCAGGTAAGCGATTCCCTGTCTTGTTCCCCTCCCGTGAAACTCTGCTCACCCTGCTCAGCACCTCTCACTCTTCGCGGCCAAGGAAGACAAGTTTGGGTGTGGATGAGTGAGGCCCAAGCCCCCGGGGGCCCGGGAGCCTGGTTTCAGGGTAGGGAGCGAGTCGAGGGCCCCGGAGCCTGACGTCAGGGTAGGGCGTATCGTCTCTAGTCGTAGTTTCTGGGTTCCTCCGGCCAGAGGGTGTGGTAGCGGCCTCCGTTTCAGGAAGGAAGACCCGTGAGCCAGGGCCGGTAGTATCAGGCTGTAGCTCCTGGTTTGACCGCAGCAGCGCTGGCATCTGCTGAGTGCTGCGTTCCGCTGTGGAGCCCAGTTTTATTTTTTGGTGGAGGGCTTGGGGTGGAGGGTTGGCGGACCCCTGGTGATGGAAGGGTGACCTCTGGGAGTTCTTGGCGGACCCCATGTGGTTCCAGGGCCGCGTCGGCCGTGTGTGAGGCAGGAGCCTGAATCCGGCTGTGCCGCTGTGGGTGTTTCCCGCGTGCCGCCGTGCAGCGCGCCCGCGCTCTCCCCTGCCCTGGCCTGCAGGGGTGTTGAGGAAGGGTGTGGTGAGCATTGGGGGACAGTCGAGCTTGTGTCTCCGTGGCTCTGGCTTCATGGTCTCGTCCCTCCTGCTCTCTTCCCGGCGTTGGCTGACGTTTGCAGCCGGCGCAAGAGCTTCTTACAGCGAGGTCCTTGGGTGGCCTGGTGCTCACCTGCCTGGTGGACAGCCCGGGGTCCTCAGTCCCAGGAAGAGCAGGGAGGAAGCGGGAGGGACCACGGCACTGCAGGGTTCCATCCTGTCCTCTCAGATTCTCTTTGGTCTTTATTGGATTTTTTAACTTGCTTAAGGACTTCTTTGACCTGTGGCCGTCAGATCATTTCCTTGACCACTTCCATTTGGCGGGGGCGGGGGTACTTAATGTTATCTCCAGATTCCCACTCACTTCTTTCAAATGTTTAAAAAAAAAAAACTTCATCGTGGATCAGTACTCTCCACGATTTGTGTTTTGACTGAATCACGTGGTATTTGCTAGGATTTGCACTGCGTGAGCGTTGGCTGCTTGGGGCATCTCGTGCGTTTGGAGAGGGGCTGGTCGTGACCTGTGGCCGGCACTTTGCTCAGCCCAGGGCAGGGCATGCTAAGTATGTGCACCCTTTCATTTCCGGTAACCCACGGGGACGCGGCTCATGTAGGGGAGAGGCTGGGTGAATCGGGTGCAGGCGCAGATGCAGATGCGGGTCCAGCCGCGGCCGTGGCCGTTGGTCTGCAGAGGCCAGAGGGCTGGAGAGCGTCACCCACTCTGTTGTTGGGAGGGACGCGTGTGTGTGGCCCCTTCCGTGCAGAGCGGCGTGGAGGGGTGTGGGCCGGTGAGCTTTTCCGGGTGCTGGGGTCAGCCACAGAGCTCCATGCTGCTCTTGGCAGAGGCCGTGTGGGTCTCTCCCTGGCCGATGTCCCTTGGTGTGCCCGGATGGTCTCTCATAGGTGGGCCGTAAAGAAACACAGTAGGGGAGGGACGAACACCAGGGCCGGTGGAAATCGCACCGGAAGGCTGGTGTTGGTCAGAAACGGGCCCGTGTGGAGGGGCGCCTTCAGCTGGGAGGGGCGGTGGTGCTGGCAGGTGGTGGTGTGTGGTGCGTGAACGCTATCGTAGGGCCGGGAAACAGCACGAAAACTTTAAAACAACAACAACAACAAAAAAGCACCTCTCGCAGAAGCCGACAGGGCGGGGGACACTGGGGAGGGGGTGTGCCCGAAACCTAACCAGGAATGTCTTGGTTGGTGCACGGTGACAGAGAAGAAAGCACCAAGGACTGTGCCTGTCCCGGGCAGCCCCAGGCAGCGCAGCGTCTGACGCCACTCCAGGTTGCCCAGTTTGCCTTTGGCCGCCCTCCCTGGCAGGCCTGCGGTTCCTCGGTGCTGTCTTGGCCAGGGCAGGGGCCGTCTCTCTGGCCAGGGGTGGCCCTGGCCTCTCTGGTCCACTCGACGGACGTTGTCCCCTCCCGGCACGGGCTTCCATCGCTCACTCCTGCCCGGTGCTGGTCCCTGTGGCCTCCTGCTGCCGACACACCCCTTCAGCGTGTTCAGTCTGGCCCCCAGAGAGGGTGTCGGTGGGGCTGGTGGTCCCTCCTCTTGCCCCCCACCCCATCATCGGGTGACGTCGCTCTGGCTTGCTCTGTTGTCATTCTGGGGCTGTCCCCACTGAGGCAGGGACACACGCGCATGCTGACGTTTCAGTAGGGACTAGGGGACAGAGGCCGACGGGGACATGAGTTGGTTTGGCTGGACCGTGTGACCCCCCCCGGAGTATGGACCGTGAGCCATGAGAGGACCGGGTTGGGGGTGGCAGATGGTCCCTCTCCAGGCTCCGGTTCTCTTCTTCCAGGACAGGGCAGCGGTGGCCCCTGGCAGAGGGACGGTGGGAGACAGGCCTGATCTGTAGCCCACAGGGACTGGACTGGTGGAAGGTTGGGTACACATGGCGGGGAGCGGGGTGCTGGCTGTGTGTCGGCCACTCGGCTCTGAGATTCTGTGTCTTGGCTTTGCCAACGACGATCTGGTGGGTCCTCCGGCTCCCAGAGCACCCAGGTTTTCAGGGGTGGGTTGGAAAAAGCTGCTGACTCGGGCCTACGCGGGCAGCTCGGGGCTTGGGCGAGCGCCCCCAGGGCCGCCAAGGAGAGCAGGGAGGGGGCCGGAGCCCTGGGACAGCGCGGAGGATTTTTGCCTTGTAAGTAGCCAAACCGGGTTCCATCCTCGGTGCCCTAAGAGATCCCCGGCGCCCTGCCGGGAGTGGGCCCTGAGCATCCTGGGTGGGGCCCCCAAACCGAACAAAGAGCCGCGGTACCAGAGCGGAGCACACGGGGCCGTTTGCAGGCCGAGGAGCTTCTTCATTTTGCTCAGGGCCCTGGGGCCGGGGCCCAGGGCAGGCGCTTGGCTCTGTCCTCCCGACAGAGGAGTGAGCCCCAAGCTCTGCTGGGCGTGGTTCAATCCTCCACGCGCCCACCCACCCACCCTGGCAGCCGTAGCATCCACCTGGGCCGTGGCCTCCCGTGATGCCCAGGTCTCGCTCGAGAAGCTCGTTTCCTGCCACTCTCAGGGCGTCACATCTCTGAGCCGGTCGCGGGAACACGGTTTTCTCCTGCCTTTTCCTCCTGGGACGGTCCCCGGGGCCAGCTTGAGGCCCAGGGGTGTGGGGGGCGCACGTGTGCTCCCCTGGACTGCGTGCTGCCCGGCCCGCTCTCCCTCTGTCCCTGCCCTTCCCTGCACTCTTTCCTCCTCCCCTCGCCCACGTGGCGGCTTTGAAAGCCGTAAGCCTCCCACCCTTCACGGTTCACGCTGCATCTCCCCACCACACCCCCCAGGTGCTTCCTCCCATACACAGTGAACCCCCTGTCATACCATCACGCCTGTTTCATACATGTCTGTGGCCATTGGACAGGGGCCAGAGAGAGAGAGAGAGAGAGAGAGAGAGAGAGCGCACAGTGGGCAGGGCACTTGCCACCTGGGCTCTGTCCCTGGCACCCCATGTGGTCTTCAATCCCACCAGGAACCATCACAGATCACTGAGCACAGCGCCAGGAGTCAGCGCCCCAGAACCAAAATAAATCAGACCACGTCTAAGAAGATCCAAGTCATTCCCTAATGCAGTGTCCAATGTCCAGTTAAAAGTTTCTTCCTAAGTAGGCTATAGACCCAACATGACTGCCACTCAATTCCTCTTTTGCAAACCACAGCACCCAAAAGGAGAGAGAGAACGAAAGGGAATGCCCTGCCACAGAGGCAGGGTGGGATGGAGGAGTTGGGGATTGGGAGGGATACTGGAATCCGTGGTGGCGGAGAACGGGCACTGGTGGAGGGATGGGTACTCGATCATTGTATGACTGAAACCCAAGCACAAAAATTTGTAAGTCTACAACTGTACCTCATGGTGTTTCACTAATAAAACAATAAAATACAATAAAAATAAAATAAAACACACACACAAAAAGTCTCTTTCTAGGGTGGGATTTGGCCTAGATTTGGCCTCTGTGGCCGTCGTTGGCGGGGCCTCTGGTACCCGGGACAGGACTGGTATTGGCGTGCTTGTAGCACCAGCTCCCGGCATTGGTAACCACGGTCAGAACCGGGCGAGGGAACTCAGTGGGCTGAGGACAGGCCCGTGTCCCCTGCAGCGTGCTCTGAGCCCGTGGCCATGCCCCTGAGCAGGGAGCAGCCAGGAGGGACCCAAACCAAGCAGACTCATTCAGCATCAGCACCTAGACTCCTGAGAGGGCGTGGAGGAGCCGCAGACCACGTGCTTTTCAGAACCCTCAAATTTTTATCTTCAGTTTCTTAAATTACGCACTCAAGAAGGGAGCCCTCCCCCCGCCCCTCATGTCTTATCATGCTCCCCCCAAACCACGCCCCCTCTGTTTGGGGGCCACACCTGGCCGTGCTCGGTGCTCACTCCTGGATCTGAGTTCAGGTTACTCCTGGTGGGGCTCCAGGGACGGGGGGGGGGTGCCGGGATCCAGCCCGGGTCCCTGGTGTGCAGGCAGCAGTCGCCCCGGACCCTCTTCTTTGCCCCCTCCTCCCTGGCATTGCTCGTTTTATTTTGGGGGGTGGCGGGTGGTTTGGGTCACACAGGAGGGGGCTCGTGTCCACTGCCCAGGATTGATCCCTGCGTCCCCCGGGGGCTGGTGGCGCCCTTCACTTGCCGAGTGTTCCCATTGGCTTCCTCCCTCGCACCTGTACTTCTGCCATGTGCTCGGGGGAAGCGTTTGGCCAAGGATGCTTCATCCGAGCACAGCGCTGTCCACCTCGTGAGTGCCCGCGGCCTGCTCCATGCCAGCCTTCCTCCCTAGGAAGTGGTGTCAGCTTCCCGATCCCAGATGGATGGGAGCTGCAAAGGGGGGGTTTCTGGGCTGTCGCCGCCTGGCTGCCTGGGAGCTGCTGGGCCCGCTTCTCTCTGAGACGCCCAGACTGCCTGCAT